CGGGCTGAGTCCCTCAATGAGGTTGAGAAGCTCGGTATAGAAAACTGTGAAATAAATAAATAAATAAATAGTCCTGTCAGATCTTCCATAGGAGCTGCTGCTTGGTACAGTGGGATTCTATTTCAAATATCTGTGCTCAGTGTGGGGGTGACAAAGATAGGAGAAATTATATAATGGGAATGGCTAAAGGTACTGCTACTGCTACTGCTTCAACACAGAAATACAAATAATGGGGCTGTTATTTCAGCATGAAAGAAAGCCATGAAGGAAATAATTTGTTTCTTTGTTGCTCTTTCCTATGTTAAAAGTTCATTTCTCTTTATTGAGACACTGTTTCTTTGGTTTGAAGAGTATCTGTGTTTGTTACAGACTGAGAGATAGACATCTAAGGTGCATTTCTTCCTCTTTGCAGTATATAGGCTTTTTAAAGTTGTGAATGTTAATGGTCTCTATGCATATAAAACTATATATTTAGCTTCTGTTTCATGAGTGATGTGAAAACCGTGCTTGATCAGCAAAGGGGGAGAGAAAAAATGAAGTACTACAGTATTTGTTTTCCTGCACACATATTTCTTCCTGTTTATCTATATAGTACTTGTTGAGTTTCATAGGGTTGTCACCTTTGTAAAATTAGATTGCAAAAATAAATGAAAGATTTTCAATAAAACAGGACTTCTTTAGCTTTTGTTCCTTATTTAGAATTCTGTGCAGAGATTTTAAACAGCCTAAATATGTACATTGGAATAACCATGACTTAGAACCTGAATGAAGAAAACAGATTTTCTGGAACCAGAATTCTACTCATCTTATCTCTGGATCCTAGTGCATGTATGGAATTATAGTTTCAGCCTAATTAATAAACATAAATAAGCTCATTGCGGTGGATAAACTACCTAATCAATAAATTTTACCAGTGTAGATGTACCCAAATAGTCCATTCTGGTTGCAGGCCTTAGGCAGCCATTTGCTGCTAGAAGGCATTAAATGAATGAAGAAGATATGTTTGTGCACAGTATTTGATAGTGCATGTGGACATGTTTGCTATGTATTTCTTTCTTTTGGGTAGTTTTCTGCTTTCATCTCTTGTAAACCTGTGATCACATGATGGTAGAAATGTCAGTTATAGTGCAAAAACTGCATCAAGAACAATAATACTATCTTATTAAATCGCAACTTCAACAAAAGATCTTTTCAGTATGGTGGGCTTTCTTTGAGCTATTTTACGTGTTTGTTTTGGGGTGTACAAAAGTCTTAAGTTAGTGGTTACAATAATTTACTGATTTAATTTGTTAAATCCTTTCAAACTTAATTATAATAGGCAGGTTCCACCCCCAAGCCAGGCCCTCAAAAGCAACAGAGCTGATGTAGTTCTTCTGAGCAAGGAAAAGGGCAGGATATTCAGAGGCCATGGAGAGGTAGGTGCCCTACGTTTGATTAAGTGTAGGGCTGTAAGATTTTCCAGCATTCCAAGCTGAAAGGTGTTTAGAGAGATCTGTGTAAGCAATAGATATAGGAGAGTATTGGCCTCTTGGAAAGTAAAGAACCACAGGGGATAGAGACACTACAGCTGAATAGTAGTGGTGTGTTTTACATCTTTAAAATAGCTCTTGATTTTTAGAGTCGGAAGTAAAATATTTAGTACTTAAATATTGGGCAAATCACTGCACCAAAAAAGGGCAAGGACCATTTGATCATGCTAATTTGTAATAACAGTCACTACACAAACACCTTTTTCCTCCATGATATGTTCATTGCATTATCTGAACACAAACAGTTTCCTTCACCTCTCTGTTTAGCTACCACTATGTTTTTTTCCTGTCAAGTAGGAAGCTGCCTACTGGCACATTACATAAGCCAACTATGGAGAAAATTGTGATTGTTTGTTTGGTTGGTTGTGTCCAGTACAGTGCATATAATGGAACAACAGGCAGCAACATGTTGCACTAATTTTTTCTTGCCCAGAATTGGTGGGCTGAGTAGGGAGCTGTGAATCAAAGGTTACAGCTGGTCCCCATTCAAGAGGAATTTACTCCTTGAAGCCTGTCAGTCAAAGAATAGTTATTATTAAAATTATAGATCATACTGTATCATATTTAAGTTATACTGAAATGTACATAATATAAAAAGTATACAGTCCTTAATAGAGAAAAGTGGGAAAGGAAATTGTTGCATGGAAACCTTGGGACGATTGTTATTCTGTAAATAACACCTTTGCTATTAATTTATTTTTAATTTGAGTTGATTTTAACCCCGCTTTTCTCCTGCACTTAGGCGAGGCTCAAAGTGGCTAACAATATAATAAGAACATACAAAGTAAAATTTAAAACAGATTAAAACCTGATAAATTCCATATGTTGTTGTTGTTCATTCGTTCAGTTGTTTCCGACTCTTTGTGACCTTATGGACCAGCCCACACCAGAGCTCCCTGTCGGGTGTCACCACCCCAGCTCCTTCAAGGTCAAGCCAGTCACTTCAAGGATATCATCCATCCATCTTGCCCTTGGTCGGCCCCTCTTCCTTTTTCCTTCCTTTTTCCCCAACATAATTGCCTTCTCTAAGCTTTCCTTTCTTCTCAAGATGTAGCCAAAGTACTTCATCTTTGCCTCTACTATCCTTCCCTCCAATGAGTATTCCATATTGCAATCTGATTATCTAAAACTGCCAGTGATAAAACTATTTACAAATATAACATACATTTCTTATGTTGTGCAGATTGCAAATGTCACACAATAGAATAAAAACGGGAAGATTCTCCTTCGTATTGAGCAGGACTCTTTACAATTGAAACTTCTTGACATTGTATCTTATAGTTCTGAAAATGTAAAGGTTTGTTTTCTGCAGTGATTTTAAAAGTTAAAGATAACTCAATAGAAGGATCATTCTTTGACAGTGATCATTTTTCTGCCTTCATTGCCTGTTTTTTTCTATTACAACATTATCATGAAGCAGAAGTTTATAGCTTAGAGTATATAATTGACAAAAAGCTGTTTCTCTTTCCCAATCAGACAAACATTAGATTGACAGTCTCCTAGAATTTTCCTCTCATATCTGTAGTTCACCTGAAGCATTCTATTGTTTACAGAAACCATTACTGTTCTGTGGAGATAATTCCATTCTCATCTGCTCCAGTCATTTCTTCTTTCTCGAGAGTACATCAACTGTCAATTGCTCCAGTAGTTTCTTCAGGAAGCAAAGAATGTTCACAAGGCATCTTTTATCTCCCAGACAGTATGACACAGTTTATGAGGCAACTTGGGTCACTTGGCATGGGGAGTTTCTTTGAGAGCATACCAAAATAATATTTTTTAAAAACCCACAACACCTGTGCCAGCTTATCCACTAGATGAGCTTACAGCCAGGTGAAGATGGTCCAAGGACTTTCGTCAAAGGAAGAAGTTTGTATGCCAGCTAGAAGTTAGGATGATAAATGGATTTTCCAATGCTCTCTGCCACTGTAGCAGACAAGGATGTCCTCAGGTGGCACAGGTCCACAAGAGCAGTCAAAGAGAAATGTGTGCCATAGAATTGCAGACTATGGCAATTTTGTTGTGTCATGAGTAGAATAAAGAGTGTAGATCAACAATTAATGATATGATTGCCATCGAATACACATTTTGTTTCAGTAATTGCAAAATCTTGAGATCTCCATTCAAAATACTCAGAAGTTGTCTGCTAGAATCTGAGTTCAGTAGAAGCTCCTCCGTGCTGGGAAAAGGTCAGAGTTTCAGAAGATGAGATCAGTATCATCCTGGCCTCTAGGTAGTAGTCCTCAAGTAAGGAATGCAAAATAGTTTCTGACAGCCTTTCAGAGCTGATGCAGAAAAAAATAAAATCTCTTATTTCCAAGGCAAAAAAAAAAAAAAGAAAATTTCGGCTCTCTGGTTGTGATTATAATCTAGCACTCAATAATAAAATATCAGGAGATGTCATTAGTTGTTCCTTTGGACTTTGTTTCATTATCCCTAAATCTTATACTTCCCAAAACGGAAGCTTAAGTTCCCTGTATGTGCTTTTAGTATGATACGTTAAGGTCTGAACCAGGAGTCTGTTTGATGCCATTTGTTCCATTCCAGTACAAGAATTAACCTGGAAGGTAATATTCCTCATGGCAGTTACATCCTTTTGGACAGCTTATGAGTTCCATGCCCTTTCTGTCTTGGCCACAAGTGTCAAATTCAAGGCCCACTAGCCTAATCTGGCCCGTCATGTTATTTTATGTGACCCTCCTACAACTCTTGTATTCCTCATCATTAGATTTCATTACTAAAGCTGATGGAAGTTGTGATACAGTAACACCTGGAAGACTGCAGTTTGTTCAGTTTAGTCATCATGGTGAGGGGGAGCCCCCGGTGGCACAGTGGGTTAAACCCCTGTGCTGGCAGGACTGAAGATGGACAGGTCGCAAGTTTGAATCCAGGTAGAGGTGGATGAGCTCCCTCTATCAGCTCTAGCTCCTCATGCGGGGACATGAGAGAAGCCTCCCACAAGGATGATAAAAACATCAAATCATCCAGGCGCACCCTGGGCAATGTCCTTGCAGACAGCCAATTATCTCACACCAGAAGCGACTTGCAGTTTCTCAAGTCACTCCTGACACGACAAAAAAAAATCATGGTGAGGTTTGAATTTAGATAGAAGGCTTGTGGATATGATGTCTGATTTTAAAACGTCCTTTAACCTTTCTCCAACCTCTGAGCTACAGGTGCTATTGGGTTGCAATTCCTATTATCTTGAGTCTGCATGGTGGATAATCAAAAATTATAGAGGTTGTCGTTCAGTAATATCTAGGGACCCAAACTGATTAAAAATTAAAGAGCACCGACCACTATGAAAAAAATTATAGTTGGCCCTTTATTCACTGAGTCTTTGTCCATAGATTCAGCAGCCCTTTGAAGGCAACTTTTAGGTTGATGAAAATGAGTTTGATACCTTTGGTCTAGGCCTAGAATCTAGGAACATAGTATAGCTTTCATCTGGCGAGAGTAATTCTCCAATGAGGTCCAGAATTTATTTCAAAATTAAGTACGGCAGTCCTTTTTAGTCAGAAAATAGTGATACGATATATTTGAACGGCATCAAATTGTTGCTGATTGTTAGTTGCTCTGAGTCCCTCTATGAGGGAGAGAGGGCAGAATATAAAACAAAGAAAACAAATACAATATGTTTGCCTTGACTTACCTCATGCCAAAGAGGACCCATGGCACAAGCTAGATATATGAAGTGCTTTTGAAACTTGCATCAGATACACCCAATTGAAGACGCTTGACCGCTTGTTCATATCTCATACAATGCCACATCTCCCTTATTTTTCTAATGTAAAAAAGCTTTTTCAGGATTCCTTCTTCACCAACTTGAAGATGTGAGACCAATTTTGCTTTGGCTTCTCCCAGGTATTTTGGGTTCCGGACAGATGCTTGTACAACCAAAAACTTAATCACATTGTAGGAGAAGCACAGGGTATAAATCCAATTTATTTAATTTACTAATGGAGTGTTGCTTCCTGAATTTAAAAAAGTCACTCCTGAGTCCAAGGAAGGTTAAACGTGGCAAAACTGTCCCCTGCAACCTCTAGAGAAGAGCACACAGCAAATAGATGGCACCACCTAAGCTGATATCGTATCCAGTGCTCATTGCCTTCCTGTCTGAAAGCAGTTTTATTCCATTTCAAAAACACCTCTGAATAATCATTGCATTAAAAACCCCTTGAAATTAATGATTTCATTATAAGTCAACAAGCAGCTTGAAGGCATATAGAGATACTCAAAACTAAAGGGTTTCCTCTTTTCAGGGTCAAAATTGATTTTTGTGTTGGTTTTTAATTCCTTACCTTTCCCTAGTTTGATCCACTGTTTGTGCACCAGGACAGACACTTCAAGTAAAATCCAGTTTTCCAATCCTGAGTTGTGCCTTGTGTGTTATTTTTCACATTTTTACGTTGTCGTATTTATTTATTTATTTATTTAAAATAGTACAGGATAAGTGTTTAGCAAATGCCATTCTCAGTAGAAGAGGGAAGTGACAAGAACAGCCTGTCAAAATTAAATGGAAGAAAGATACAACAGTAAGCTGCTGGTTCTACCAGGAGTTACTACGAAGTTGCATAGGGGAAACATTATACAAATGTGAATAAGACTGTATCTAACTATAATAGAATATATTCTGCTCATAAAAAGTAGTTCTCAATAAAGAAAAGTGTATATTTCTGAATACATATAGATACCATTAGAAGTGGCAGCAATATTTAAAACAGTAGTATGTAATATGTCGGATTCATTTTACTTTTCTTGTTAGCTTGAATCTAAATCTCCAATGAACATTTGGCCACATTCTAAAAGTTTGTGTTACTGAATGCTTCCAGAAGTTTCTGCTTTACAAATTAAAAATCACCAAGTAACTGGACATGTAACTTTGTCATATTTAATAGTATAAAATGTAACAGTTGATTCTTGTTTCCATGAAAGACTACATCGGTCTGAATAACGTAAAGTTGGTTGTCTTCTGAAGAAGGCTAGTTGTGTCACTGAATTCTGAGTAAATGTATTCTTTCTTAAGAGAATGTATAATGTTTACTTGTAGATAAACTTTCCGGGGATCGAATAAAACAAGTGATGGAACACATCTGGAAACTTCAGGAGTTCTGTAACAGCATGGCTAAACTTGATATTGATGGATATGAATATGCTTACCTTAAAGCTGTAGTCCTTTTTAGTTCTGGTAAGGCATTTGGTAATTATTACACTAGCCTTTCCTTGTCTCAACAATTCTTTATATGGTGAACTTACAAAAAGCTTATATTCCAATTCTAGCTAAACTAGTGTGGAAGAAACTGAATCATACAAAGAAACATTTTGACTTTTTTATCACTAGAATCCCGTTTGCACTAGCAATTCGATTTTTTTTACAGAAGCAGTTCTCCAAGAACTTACGGGTTTGTTCACCTAGTTTGCACAATAGTCTGCAGTGCTCAAATATAATTGTGCAGATACAACTCCAAACTTTGCCTTAAAGTCGATGCCTTGGTTCCTTCCACAATCCTGCAGATTCATTCTAGCATAACATTAACATAATATTTCAACAGGATTTCAGTCCTTGTGTTACCTTTTAACGTATTGGCCTCTGGGAATTTGCTTCTGTTTGTGTTCCTCAAAGTCAAAATATTAAATAAACATCTTTTTGACTTTAATCCCTGTTTTATCACATATACACATCAAAATAATCCTAGCAACATAATATCCAATAAATTAAAAACTGGTAGATTGCCTTAAATCAGATTATATAAAGTTTAGGGAATGTTGCTAATCTGACAAACCACCCCCAAACCTGCAGAGTGTTTTGTGCTCTGAGGTGAAAGTCCATAACAGCCAAGAGTCCTCTTACCTGTCTCTGTACAAAAGGAATTGTCTGAAATTCATGATACCACCATGGGCTCTTCAGTCACTTTCAAGTGATGAAAAATGCAAATAAAATAAAATCTGCTACTGAAGCCCTACTACTCTGTGAATCTACTTACCAATAAAAATGAAAAAAGGTAAACCGGATTCTCACAGCCCCTGTGCCTTGTTGGCAAAGACAGTGGATAATTTAAAAACAGATGTAATTTAATATATGTACTGGCTGTTAGTTATCTGTGAGAGAATGTAAATCCTTTGCATTCTGTGTGGCTAGTACAATAGTTTGAAGAGATAAATATAGATAAATTATAATGGAGCCGAGAGAAGGTAAACAAATCTTGACAGCTGTATATTTTACACTTTCTCCTGTGTGAGCTGCTTTAAGTAGCCATTATACTCTGTACTCTTCTAGAGATTAGTTTCATCATGGACCACAAAGTTTCGTGGCTTTGAAAACATCCTTGCAATTTAAAGTGCAAAGCAGTCATGTCTATTTGTTAAAACAGAGGCTATTAGTAAACCAGACAACAATAAAGATGAAGCATTTCTTCAACTTTAAAACACTTTTTGAGAAAATACAACTTATATTGTCTGTAAAGTGCCCCCCCCCCCCCCCCAGGTCTAGGTAGATATCAAATGCAGTACTTGACAACTCTATGTCATTTTCCTACTCGAGGTGGAGGAAAATAAGACACATGTCATTTCATTCAGGTCATGTCATTAGGACAGTATACCAAATTCAAATGAAAACAGAGCAATAAAAATAGAATAGGCTGATTTTACAACAATCAAATGACAATAGTAAGCAGAACATTAGAACTAGAAGCCAACATTTAAACTCACCAAGGAGTGCAGATAAAGAGGAGGTTAACCTAACATTCCACAGAAGGGAGCTCTGAATCAGGGTACAACTACAGAAAAGGGCCCATCTTGATTGTCCACCATCCTAACCTCCCTAGGAAGTAGAACATAGAATCTCCTGTGACAATTGCAAATTCTAGGAGCCTCATATGGTAAGAGATGCCTATTCAAATTATTTGTTCTGAAACTATTTAGGACTTTATTGATAACAATCAATACTTGAACAGAGTGGACAAATTGTACTTCCTTATGGTTTTAGGAAAGCCATTGTTGGTCCCAAGCCCCCGAATGTGTTGGACTGCTAAAGTTTTCAAAATGATTACAGAAGAGTATTTTATGTGTTTAAAGAAAGTGCTCAATAACTGATCAATAATAAACTTAGAAATTGCTCCTTTAAATGAACAAGGACCTTAATTTTGATGAAGTATCTTTTGCAACAGAGCTATCTATAATTGAGATACCAGGCTGCTTAACTGGCAGTGACTATATACCACTAGAAGTTTCCTTTTTTGAAGATTTGGATTAGAAGTCAGGTTAAATTTGGAAAATAGCACCCTTTTAAAAAGGTGGAGGAGAATACCATGTCCTTTTGACAAAGCAACACATAATCATTATGTGTTGACCAAGAAGGATATTATTTGGTCTAATAAAGGAGCTGATGAAAAATACAGTCAACCCCCACATTTGCTGGGTTTAGGCGCACAAGTTCCCCACAAAACTGAAAAACCGCAAATAATAAAATTCCTCTTTAAAAAAAACCTGAGGCAACATCTATCTAGAAATATTGGGTTTCTCTAACATAACTCTGGCTGATTTCCAATATATTGTACTGGATTTACTAAAGATTCCTAGAGGTGTTCTCTCTAGATCCTCTAGCACATATGTGTCAAACGCAAGGTCTGTGGAATGAATCCAGTCCGCCACCTCATTTAATATGGCCTGTGAGCCTTTCCATACAAGGACAACATAGTTATATTTATACAGTCTTACAATTATGAATTGCATTTGAAGGCAACCATAAGGTTGATGTGGCCTCGTTGGAAATGAGTCTGACATCCCTGCTCTAACACATCCCTGTGGTCACCTAGCAGAGATTTACCATAGAATCCCCATGGACTACCTAGATACCTAGAGATAACATTTCAATCAAATCCATGAATAATCAAATCTACAAAAGGGCCAACTGTAGTCAATTTTATGGTTTACCATCTTGGAATGACTGGCTGAGTTTGGAGATAGTGTTTTCCACAAACACTACTAAACATGAAACATGCAGAGCTTTGAATAATTTTTAAATAGTGTGGTCTTTTTTAATGTTTCATCTTCTGCTGCAATTTTTTTTATTTTAAGTGTGAATAAATGAATTAACTAATGTTAAGTTGTTATTCATCGCTATTAAATTGCAGTCTTCTATTAAAATGCCTTTGTTTCAGAAAACAGCAGCATTAAAGCATTTTGAGATATTTTAAAAATGTCTCCCTAATATCTGAAAGTTGCCATTGCTAATGTCAGATTTGTCTACTGATTTTATCATTTTTAATTTTTACTCTGTGTAGAAATGATCAGTTTGTCTTGTGTAGAAAAACAAAGGGCATTTTTAGAAAATGGAAGCCTATTTGTTTTTGAATGGAAGGGGTAATCAGTACAACAATCTGAAGTATAAATAAGTTCCCCCCCCCCCTTTTTTTTTTATAGATCACCCTGGACTGACAAACTCCAGTCAAATAGAAAAATTCCAGGAGAAAGCTCAAATGGAATTACAAGATTATGTTCAAAAAACATATCCAGAAGACACCTACAGGTAGCACTGTTTTATTTTTTTACTAAGCATATGTGCTGTAAAACAAATAAAATTACCAGCTTGTGAGGTTGTTTTTTAAAAAAGCACAATCTACCCAAAACAGTTTTTAGAATAGAGAAGCAAAAGTTTTTTTCTGAATAGAGAAGCAAAGCATCACACACAGTGAGACACATAAGTAAATGAGTAGATTTGGGCTGGTGTCATAGTCTGGCTATACACTTTCAGTCAGAATTCAAGCTGTTTGTGATGACATTTGAAGTTCTGAATATCTTCAGTACTAGAAGAAGCACTTCTACCGATAACACCACCAGAGGGATAAAGTCTGTTCCACCACAGTAGTGGAATGACCTACCTTTGGAGGCCCAACTGGCTCCAATGTTAACTTTATTTAGGAACCAAGAAAAATTATGGACGTTACCAAAGCCTTTGTGTCTTTTTGATTTACTCCCAAATGCTTATGCACATTGTTTTAAACTTAACATGTTTAACTTGTTGATGTGCTTAATATAGTTTTATTCTATTTAAATTATCATGACTTTAAATAAGTGTACTCAATTTGTATTCCGTTTTCTGTATGTTAGTCTGTTTTTATGTGTGGTGCCCTGACATTTCATTGTGTTGGGCGAGTGTGAATGTTTCAAATAAATAAAAAGTAAAATCTACAAATAAAGTATAAGAATAGTTTTGATCTAATAGCTTCAAGATCTGTGGCTTTCTAGAAATATATGTTATTTTGACTGTGAAGGTTTGAGTTAAATACTGTAAAAAATCACATTGGGATGTTACCATTTTTGGTGTGCCTTCTTTATTTGTAAAAACTAATAGAAACTTCGTGAAACCATAAGCATTTAGCTCCAGCTACAGACATCCCAGGTTTTTCAACAGATTAGGGACCAGATCACTGTTGAAAACTAAAAATCATCAAAATGCAGAAGCCAGGGTTTTTAAGCTTACATTTTGGCTACTGACATATGTCAACAATGCCCTATACAGGCAGTCCCAAGTCACGAACAAGATAGGTTCTGTAGGTTTGTTCTGATGTGGAGTTTGTTTGTTTGTAAGTCGGAACAGATACACTTTTAAGTGTAACACCAGCCATATAGCAAACCACTGACCACTAACTACAATGCAGTCTGAGCCTCACCACATGCACCACATCCTTACAGCCACCCCAGAGGCACTCCAAGTAGCCAGCTTCTGGTCAAAGGAAATTTAGCATAATGCTAGGTTGCTAACTTTGTTAAGCTTTCTTTTCTGTTTCCAAGGACATTATTTCACAATGTTGCTTAGATCTTTGTCCACTCTTGCTCTCCACTTTTAATCATGGCTGCTGCTATTTCATGACCTCTTCCTCAACAAATAACAATTTTCAATTCTTCCATCTCCTTTGAAAAGTTTAGGAATCAGGCCCATGCTGGTAATTTGAGCTGTTCCTTTACATGTTTTATTGTTTTTTCTTATTTCAGGTTAGCCCGGATTCTTGTCCGCCTACCAGCACTTAGACTGATGAGCTCCAGCATTACAGAAGAACTATTTTTTACTGGGCTCATTGGAAATGTTCCAATTGACAGCATCATCCCTTACATCCTGAAAATGGAGACTGCAGAGTATAATGGCCAAATCACAGGTTCATCCTCCTAGAGAAGAGAACGGTGAATCTAGACATCTCTAAGTAACCATATTTCACTGTTAATGTGTACAGATGTTTCCAACATATTTCATGTTCTTATTAGTTATTTGTCTATATTCAAAAACACAATAAGGACTTCTGTAAAAACCTTTTCTAGGATTCATTTCTGTCAGAAGAAATGTTTAAATATCTTTTTCTGAAAAGACTATAGTGCATTGCTGAACATAACTTTAAGATGCTTTTATTTACATGTTGCTAGTGAGCAAAGGGGAAAAAAGGTTCTATGACACCATAATCCTCATTTAAATAGCATTGAATTAGTAACCCCAATTTCAGTGGAAGATTTGCAAGTTTATGGTTGGCCTCCTCTCTCAAAAACCATTGCTAAGACTTCCAGTTCAGCATGATGGGTTCTAGCTGGCAGAGAAAAACTGTCTCTCCTATAGATATGTTGTGTTGTGTTAAAAGGTATTGAAAATCTTTAAATGGCTATCGAAATTACTGGGGTTACCTGCACTTTTCAAGTATTTCTAGTTAAATATGTGGCATTGACATTGTGCAAGCAGTGCCTTGTTTGTATGAGCAGGGTAAATGAATAGTAGCATTTAAACTACAGACACATACTTGTGATTAGTACAAACACCTGAAGAACTGTGGAAGACAATCATTTATTCTATGGATTTAAAATTGTATGTGTTTATTAGTCATGTGATCCTTCCCAGGATATTTCTATACTGTGTTGAAATTAAAGCCAGCTAAATTAATGTAAACATTTACAGTTAACATAAACAAAGCATAATATTTATGGCCCAGCTGTCGGCTTAATAGATGGTGTAGAACTTAACTCATATTGGTAAACCACATACTAACATCTCATTTTTTTTATCATGGAAAACTATTCAAATTTTATAAGGTTCAGTAGCTGCCTGTACTACAATTTGCTAGTTTGGGGAGTTGTCTTTAATGTGGGTGCATTCAACACAGTTTTAGTAATAGTTGTGTTCTCATTCTTACCTATGTGTACACTTTAATTTCAAAGCTATTTTCTCTAAGGATTAAGAAAAACATTCTGGCAGCAAAAGCTGTTTAATACAGAATAGGCTGCCTCGGAGTATGGTGGAGTCTTCTTCTCTAGAGGTTTTTAAACAGGCTGGATGGCCATCTGTTGGGAGTGCTTGTGTATTCCTGCATGGCAGAATGGGGTTGGACTAGAGGACTCTTGTGGTCTCTTCCAAGTCTGAATCTGCTGAGGCTTGAGAAGACTGACTGACATAATCCTGCATTGCAGTGGTTCCTGCAAAAAGTGGGGGTGGGTCTTTTTCTAATGTCTTGCAATCTACTGTGTCATAGCCTGAACCACTTCATTGATGGTATTGTTCCTTTGCAGACATGATTTATGGGGAGAGGCATGGATTGAATGTCTATATTCCCCCCTTCCCACACACACTCACACTCACATAATTATGTGTGTTTTGTGTGGCATGGTCCATATTGACATTTTCATACTGTAGTTAAGTTTGAAATTGAAAATGTAGCGGTTGTCATCAACTAAGACAGCTTTAAAAGAGGATTAAACAAATCTACTAAGGCTTACCATGGCAACCAGTTATGTAGGTATTTATTAACATCCAGGATTAGAAATGATATGCCTTGGAAATCCAGTTGTTAGAGAATATAAGTGGGAGGGAGCCATTCCATTCCTGTCCTGTTTATAGGCTCCTGGTTGTCATCTGCTTGACCATGATTTGGACAGAGTGCTGTTGGTCTGATCCAGCATGACTTTTCTTAAGAGAAAACACATATAAATAATAGTGGCAAAATAGACTTCTTAGTTATTTTCATACATTCCAAAATATAAAAGATTTTATTTGTACACTAAAATTATCTCTGTATAGGAAAATACCATGAATGAAGGGAACAATAAGAGAAGCTTATCGGAATCTAAATGTAATTGGAGGGATAAAAAATGTTTCTGTCTTGGCATTTCATCATATATTTTTAAGCTTACCGTTTTTTATTTGTTCTCTAATTTTTAGTGTGAAATAGTATGTCTTTCCTTTGTTTCAAACTGGTCACAGGAAATAATTTTACGCAGTCATTTTTTAACTGCCATTTGTTTGAAAGTATATTCCAACAAGTCTTTATTAAGCATTTGGGCAGCATCAGAGGCCTTTATGTTAGATCCAGATACAATTTTATTTATACTATCTAAGGCTATTTATTAAGCACACTTAACTTGGAATCAAGTTTCTCGGAAAAAAGTAGGACTTATATGTATAGGCTAAAAGCATCAGCATTTAAAACAGATGTACTGTATAGTCTGTCTGTTGCTAAATCTTAACTGCAATCCCAAGTGGATGTGTAATTATGTAAGGCTGAAGCCTCAGTAAATCACAGTTCCACTTGTGTAGCAACTGGCAAGCAATTACATATGATTTCCCCCGAGAGTCTGTCACGCTCTGAGAATAGGGGTTTTTTTAATATAGTTTGCTATTAATTCACAAGTCTGCAGGTATAATGTTTCTTCAAAACCCGTTCATAACATTGTTATGGGACTGGGGAATGCCATTGGAGGGGAAAAACCAGACATTTCATAATGTTTGCCCAAGCTCTCAAGCGCAATTGAAATAGTGCTTTGGATCCTGGTCATGTTTATTTGTGTATATGATGTTTATGTACTAGGATCGAACTTTGTCTAGTATATTATGTACAGTGTAATATAAAGTGTGTATGTATGTATATAGAAATATGTACAGTCATATAATCATAAATATCAAATTTCTATATGTTGAAAATATTATAAATGCATTGCAAATCTTGAGCTTCCTAAATTTTATTTCTTTCTCCAAGCTCAGCTCTGATATAATTGTATGCATTCTCACTTTCTTCAGGAAAGTGGGCACCTGTTTTAAACGCAGGATGTATTTGCACTTTGTCTTAAATTCAGAAAGGAACTATTTAATAGTTCTACATTTCATTTCTAAATCCATACAAGCCCTGTTGACATGAATGGACATTGTGCAGTGACAGTGTCCAGGGGATTCAACCTGTGGACCATAAACATTTCTATATATTCTCAGCACACATAAGAAGTGCTTTTTCTACTGTTCTGAAAAACGTTGTTTTATACAGTCCTTTTTTAAGCATGTGAAACTGTATTTCTAATGTCTGTATCCCCCTGGAAGTTACTAATTAAAGCAAGTAAGCCTGTCATAACAGACTATGTAGTTTTATAATGACACTGTCTTATCAGTGTGTTATGTAGTGTCATAAATATCCATATGAACTAAGTCTTATATGATTCTGTTATCTTTTCTGGCATAAGAAAACTTACTGATAAAAGGATTTTGTCTGTATATCAGTTTGTAATGCATAATTTTTAAATACATTGCATATTACTGACACGAAGGAATTTTATTATACAAAAAAATGAAGACTTTAGGAGAATATTAAGTAGGGATGGCCAACTGATTGAACTGCAGCTCCCAATATTCCTTACCATTCTCTATACTGGCTAAGGCAGTTAGAGCATCTAGTGTTTTAACAGCATCTAGTGTTGTTAGTTGCCTATTCCTGTGCTAAAACAAGTAGCTGGTGATGACAGGCAGTGTTCTTTGTTTTTCCCTTCTGTATTATTTATATAGTTTTGCCTGCCTCTTTTCTGTAGAAAAATAATCTTGATTTCAAATTAGATATTTTAATTACTCGAGACAGTTTCACATACGCATGATCATCCAGAATGGAATATTCAACATATTCATAAACAGATCGAGAAAGAAGTTACCATACTAAGTTTTCTTCAGCTAAACGTTTGTCAAGTAAATGAAGGGCAACAATCTTCCCCAAAATTATTTCTTCAGCAGCCCTGTTTCTCCCTCTTTGGTGTGTGTATAGCAGGCATGGGCAAACTTTGGCCCTCCATGTGTTTTGGACTTCAACTCCCACAATTCCTAACAGCCAGTAGGCAGTTGAAGTCCAAAACACCTGGAGAGCCGAAGTTTTCCCATGCCTGGCATATATGCATAGGCAGTATGTCAGAGCTTAGAAAATATGCAAGGTTTGTATCTACACCTCCAGCTTGAACAACATGGAGAGAAAGGGACATACAGATTCCTGCTTTCCCATAAAGTCTTGACACGTTTTATAAACTTTCAAAGGAAAAGCAGAGAAACCTACCTTTTGAATTCAGTGAGGATCATTCCAGGTAGCATAGGCATTACATCTGTTTAATTATCAGAGCATGATGTTTTCTGTTTCTTCTTGCCCTCTCCACTGATACTGCCTAAGTAGTCACACCATGATCTTAAATAGTATATGTTTTTTTAAGATTAGCCTTGGTGAATATAGCAGTGCTGCCAATAAAAAATATGTAGTCCAACACCTCCATAATCTTATAGAGGTTCCATAAAGAATGTAAGAGTGTGCAGCATATTCCTTTAAAATGCCCTGTTCAGATGTTTGAGAAGTCATCACATTTACTGTCCAGTCTCCATTTCATAGCATATTTAAAAATATATAATTTTTTGTTTCATCTGTAGACCATATGAAGCATTTTTGCTAATAAAACTCCATTGTTTGCAGGTTCTCCATTGTAAACTTATTATAAAGGTTCCCATTCAGTGTAATCCTATATATGCTTACTCAGAAGTAAGCCTGATTAAATTTAATAGCACTTATTCCCAGGTTGAGTGTGCATATGGGATTACAACATTACTGTCAGTACCCATTGCTTGTTTTTATATTTGAACATGAATGCAAAAAATGATTTTCCAATTTTGATAGTTCCTTAATAAGTTAAGGAAAAAATAATTGTTTTAAAAGTCTTTCTAATTTGAATTTCCAATATTGGAAAGTTGTGTAACACATCTTTTTAGTATAACATTATCTCCCCCTCCCCATGCTCCCGCACTAAAGGTACTAAGCGGATATCTGATTCTAGTTCCATGAATAACTTAAGCAGTTTTAAGAAACTAACATCCTTTTTGCTTTCTGTATTGGAGCTTGGTAGGGGTTGAGAAATTGAAAATATTGAAATTGTAATCTTACAAAAGGACTGGAGGAGCTTGGTGGGTCTATTATTCAAATAGTTTCCACATCCATGAAACTCATGTGTTGCTAGGGTATGTATAACCAACCACTAATTCTAAACATAATGTCATTGTCTTTGTTCTTACTAGTTTTATAAATAAAAATTCCTCTTCATATAAACCCATTCTACACAGTTGTATGTGTTTGGAAAATCCTGCCGGCTCAAAGCTCCTATCAAAATAAATATATTTTCCACAAGGGAATTGTCTGTGATAATTCCACGGGGTATATTTTGTAACCTTGTGCTTTTTATTGTTTATTAAGATATTGTTTGAATATTTCTTTGGATTTCAGGTTCAAAACTTGAAAATGCTGTTGCTCCCACGCCGTTTGTGAAACCATTTTTGTAAATGTGAAGGCATTTAAAATAGCATGTTCCTTTTTTTATCTGAATTTTATATCTAATCAGTGTCTTCAGTCATGAAGAGAAATTGCATTGTTGTGTGTGTATATAGAGTATTGCAGTGCATGCTTATGCATTTCATGAAATGCTGTGTAAATGTGGCATTATATTGTTGTGGCTTAATATTGCTACCTACAGGAGATTTATACTATTAAAATAAATAAAGACTCTTATGCGGCCTTTTTCATTATTTTAAAACTGGTTTGTGTATATGTTTGGTGGATGTAAAAGTAATAGTATTGGTGGGTGGAGGTTGATGTAACAGTAAAGCATACTGATGTCTAATGCATGATGTCTAATGGCAATGGGTTAAACCCCCAGGTGCGCAATGGGTTAAACCCCCAGTGGTGCAATGGATTAAATCCTTTGGGCATATTGCATAGTTGTACCAAGTTTGGTCCAGATCCATCATTGTTTGAGTCCACAGTACTCTCTGGATGTAGGTGAACTGCAACTCTAAAATTGAAGGAATCCCCGGTGGCGTAGTGGATTAAACCCCTGTGCTGGCAGGACTGAAGACCGACAGGTCACAGGTTTGAATCCGGGGAGGGGCGGATGAGCTCCCTCTATTAGCTCCAACTCCCCATGTGGGGACATGAGAGAAGCCTCCCACAAGACCAATAAAACATCAAATCATCCGGGTATCCCCTGGGCAACGTCCTTGCAGACGGCCAAATTCTCTCACACCAGAAGCGACTTGCAGTTTCTCAGGTCGCTCCTGACATGACAAAAACTCTAAAATTCAAGGTCAGTGCCCACCAAACACTAACAGTATTTTCTGTTGGTCATGGAAGTTCTGTGTGCCAAGATTAGTTCAATTCCATTGCTGGTGGAGTTCAAAATGCTCTTTCATTGTAGATTTAACTATAAATCCCAGTAACTACAACTCCCAAATGACAAAATCACTTACTTCCCCTCCCCCCTCAACCCCTCCAGTATTCATATTTGGGCATATCAGGTATTGGTGCCAAATTTCGTCCATTGAATGAAAATACATCCTGTATATCAAATATTTACATTACAATTCATAACAGTAACAAAACGACAGTTATCAAATAATAATGAAAATAATTTGGGGGGGGGGGGTCACCACAACATGAGGAACTGTATTAAGGAATTAGCATTAAGAAGGTTGAGAAACACTGTCTTAGCTGATTTGGCCAAAGATTAGAGATTCTGGGATTGGAAGAAACGCTGCAGGGAGACACCAAAGCGCGCGTTGACTGATCTGCTATTTGCACTACAGAGGGTGCATTTACTACAGTTGGCACTACTTTAACAGCAAATACTATGGGATCCTGGGAATTGTAGTTTGGAGAGGCAGCAGCCCTCTTGGGCAGAAAAGGAAACAATTTCCATAGGTCTACAGCTGCGACGGGATTGGCTGCGCGCTGGCAGGGGCGTGGCCAATGTTGGAGGCGTGGCTGCATGCATTCAGAGCTTCCGCTTGCTGTCTCGCAGCCCTGCCGCCGCCGCCATGCCGATGAAAGGCCGCTTTCCGATCCGGAGGACGCTGCAGTACCTGAGCCAAGGCGATGTCGTCTTCAAGGACGCCGTGAAGGTCATGACGGTCAACTACAACACCCAGGGCCCGCGCAGCGAGGGAGCCAGGTCAGCAGGGAAGGAGGGGAGTGCGTCTGCGCTGCAGAATCAATGCGGTTTGGTACCACTTCAGCTGCCATGGTTCAGTACTATGGATGACGTGAGCTGTAGCTTTGCAAAGCCTTTAGCCTTCTTGGCCAAACAATAACAACAACAGAATGTTGAGGCTGGCCAAACAGAAGCCATATGCAAATTAGTAGGTCGAGCTAGCTCATGCATGGGCCAAGTTGGGCCTTCCAGGTGTTTTGGACTTCAACTCCCATCATTCCTCACAGGCTCAGGCCCCTTTCTTTTCCCACTCAGCCACTTAGCGGCTGAGTGGGAAAAGGAAGGGGCCTGAGCCTGTGAGGAATGATGGGAGTTGAAGTCTAAAACACCTGGAGGGCCCATACATGATCATGTATGGTTTTCTTCTTTTGCTGCTGCTGCTCTTTTCCTTTGGCAACAGCCTGTGATGACATTTCCTCGTCTCCAAACCTGACTCAACCCCAACTCCTCTCTCTTTTTTCTCTCCCCGTAGAAAATTTGTGTTTTTCAACATCCCTCAGATTCAGTACAAAAATCCTTGGCTCCAGATCATGATGTTCAAGAACATGACACCGTCGCCCTTCTTAAGGTTCTATTTAGGTACGTAAGCAGTATACATTGTGGCTGTTGGGAGAAGCAACCTCTTTCCATTGCCAGACCTCACAACCTTCTGAGAATGCCTGCCATAGATGCAGGCGAAAAGTCAGGAGAGAATGCTTCTGGAACATGGCCATACAGCCCAGAAAACTAAATGCAACCCAGTGATTCTAGCCGTGAAAGCCTTCGACAATACACTTTCCATTTCTTGTTGTTGGTCAGACTCTCCTTCCTCTGTGGAAGACGATCAATTCTGCTTCTCATGTCCTCTGAGTCAAGGTGGATATATTGACCCAGTGTCTGAACCAAACAATAACAGAATGTTGAGGCTGGCCAATCAGAAACTATATGCAAATTAGTAGGTCGAGGTAGCTCATGCTTCGCCAACTTGGCTCAGTTCACACATTGGGCCCAAATATAAACTCATGCTCACCTTTTAGAGTGCCAGTGGCCATCTGAAGAAGACATTCCCTTTTCCCCATTTCTTAAAAGTCTGCTGGGAAAGGTCTTCTCCAATTATCTTGGAGAACTTGAGCCCTCCAAGAAGCTTTTGGCAACAAGTCCTAGAAGCTTTAGTTAGCATAGCCAGGTGCTAGGAAGGCTGAGAACTGGGAATCCTGGGAGCAGGGTGAGCTGCTGCTGTTAGCCCCAGCTTCTGCTAACCTAGCATGCAAATGTGAGTAGATTAATAGGTACCGTTCCGCTGGGAAGGAACGGTACCTATTTCTTTTCAGCCATCATAGCAAACAGAGATTTTCTTTGATGTCTTAATGGCAAGGCTATAACTACCTGTTTTACTATATGATCCTTTGAGTTGCTTTATTGGCTTTGTAGTTTAAATGGAAAGTCAGTGAAGCTATTTCACAACTTGTGGTCCTGAGAGCAGGGTAGACCCACAGAGAATTCATTGTGGTATTGAATATGTTTCTAGTATGTAGTCAGGCTGCCTGGGTGTTGAAGGGAAGGACAGACATATGCCATAGGAGTGATTTCTGCAACAAATCTGTATGCATTCTCTTTGTAACTCTCCTTCATTGGCAGACACTGGAGAGCAAGTCCTGGTTGATGTAGAAGAGAAGACTAACACAGAGATAACTCAACATATTAAGAAAATTCTTGGTAAAAGCGAGTAAGTAGAAATGCAAAATACTTGTTTTATTCTGAAGAATATCCAAAGAACTAGGACGGGGTGTCTGTATTCATAATGCATGTCTTTACATATATGCTGCTATCAGTTTTAATTCTAACCCATGGGACAAACTTTCCAACAAATCTGCATTAGGAGCTTAGGTATCTTCCTTGTCCTGACTTTCCACTTATGATACAGCTTGATGACCTGGGTCTTAAAAAAGAAATAGAACTATTTATATGTACAAATATGTAATACAGTAGAGTCTCGCTTATCCAAGCTTCGCTCATCCAACGTTCTGTATTATCCAACGCAGTCTGCCTCCTGCCCTGATCCATTGCTGATTCAATACATTGTGATATTTCGGTGCTAAATTTGTAAACACAGTAATTACTACATAAAGTTACCATGTATTGAACTGCTTTTTCTGTCAGTTTGTTGTACAACATGATGTTTTGGTGCTTAATTTGTAAAATCATAACGTAATTTGAGGTTTAATAGGCTTTTCCTTAATCCCTCATTATTGAATATTTTCACTTATCCAACATTCTGCCGATCTGTTTTTGTTAGATAAGCGAGTCTACTGTATTTACAAAAATGTAAACATATGCTTCCTTATCTGTCTCCTGAAACTCTTTCAGATTCCCAGTGAGTTTCTAAACCCACACCGATACCACCATGTACTTTTTTAAATAACAGAGACATGCAGCACACTCAATAGTGTCCAAATCATGGGGAACCTACAGAGGAAAGTTGTCATAACCAGCACATGAGAGTCCCAAAGTTTTTGGGAAATACAGGCTAGTGGCACTGGGTTGAAATAGACCATCAATTCATGCAGTAAAGTATTGTCATCAGCTTGATGCTAAACATGAAGCAGGAGTGAGGCTGGAGTATGTGAGAAAAATACAATCCTCTAGGACAGTGGTTCTCAACCTGGGGTCCCCGGATTTCCTGGCCTACAACTCCCAGAAATCCTCAAATCCAGGTTGAGAAGCACTGCTCTAGGAATCGCTCAGTCATAATTCTCCCACTTACAGCTTTCAGTTGTTCAAATTACTTATTTTAGGCAGTTGTAGCAGACTGTGCGCTTTTTAGCATACACAGGAACAGAGTAAGCCACTGTTAGCTGGTGACTAAAACAAGGAGTAGCCAGGTATACTTTTCCTCATCTCTTCCTTGTGTATGAAATAGTGAAGTGCTTTCAGGTAGTGCAGTGGTTCCCAACCTGTGGTCCATGGGAACCACTGCAGTGGTCTGCAGGAACTAAAATATGGTCCATTACCTCTCTATTACTACATGGTTGCAATGAGAGCAAATGGTCTCGCAAAACCCTCTTATATTGCCAAAGTATATTTAATATGGTGTTCTGTTGGCGAGCAGATGACGACTACTGAATGGCATATGTTCTGTATGAGAAACTAGAGCTGATGTGGTCTATCCAATGCAGTTTTCTGAATCAGCACTCCAAATAACCAGACCGAATCTAAAGTTGACCAAAACTGATTTGTAACTTTTTGTCCTAATGTTGGAGATTGGTCCTTAGTTAACTGATTAAGTGGTCCCTGGTCAAAACAAGTTTGGGAACTACAGAGGTAGTGGATGTGAAAGGCACCTAGAGCAGCTGGATCTATGCAACACTTGGAAGAGAAATACTATGCATGCATCTCTACTGTAGAAATAACAAGAGTTTGGCACCACATGAACTGCCATGGCTCAGTGCTATGGAATACTGGGAGTTGTAGTTTGGTGAAGCACCAGCACTCTTTATCAGAGAAGGCTAAAGAACCTGTAAAACTACAACTCACATGGTTCCATAGCTTTGAGGCATGGCAGTCAAGCTGAATTAATTCTACAGTGTAGATGCACCTGTCCTGGAGCTTTGTGGGAATTCTAGGTCCATGTCTCTTTCTTTCACACACCTAGTTTTTGCTGCCTTTCACGCAATGAACTTGTTTTTCTTGGATAGGAAAACACTCCAGACAGAAGCGCTAGAAAAAATGAAGCTACGACATCCTGCAACGTTTGGCCCCAGGAAATACCACCTGCGGGAATGTATGTGTGAGATTGAAGGCCAAGTTCCCTGCCCTGGTAGAGTGCCGTTACCAAAGGAGATGACTGGCAAGTACAAAGCGGCCATGAAAGACTCTGAGGCATCCTAAACCAACGTCTTTGCCTACGCCTGGAATTAAAACAGCAGAATAATCTTATCATCCTTAAATCAGATGGAAGTATAATATTCTCTAAGAGAACATTCAAATGACTGCAAAATAGCTGGATTTTAATACAAGTGGAAGGTTTTTTTAAAAATAAAATAAAATAAAATAAACTCATAGAGTTGTTCTTGTCATGGACTGGAAATTGTGTATGGTATCTGGTCTCAAACCAAAGGAGAAAATTTTAGCTGGTTTTTGTTCAGAGTGTTGTGTAGTGGTTTGAGACCAGAGTTGGAATTCTTGCTCATGGGCAAGTCATGGTCTGTCAGGGTGCGTATACACAGTATGATTAATGCAGACTGACACTACTTTAACTGCTGTGGCTCAGTGATACAGAATCATGTGAGTTGTAGTTTTCCAGTTTACCTGTCTCTGCCAAAGAGTGCTGGTGCCTCGCCATACTACAATGCCTAGAATTCCATAGCGTTGAGCCATGGCAGTTCAAGTGGTGTCAAACTGCATTAATAGCAATATGGCTGCTATGATTTTCTCAACTGAGATTGCAATCTCACACCAACTTCTTTAGGTCTACTTATTTCTTTAACACTTCTCAATAAGCTTATTCTACCTCTTATTTTGTGTACTATTTGTATTGTATAGAAAATACTGTAATAAGCCTCACTTATTGTCCCCAGAAGTTACTCATTTGCAGTAGCAAATATAAAAAATTAGTGAACCAACACAAGAAATTTTTATATTTAAAAAAATCAACTTGGTACTATATAATTCAGAGCTCCCATAGACTAGTACTTGTTACGGATGAGAATAAAATCAATTAAGGGTATACATGGAGTAAACGAGGAAATCAGGGCAGCAGTGGGTTAAACTGCTGAGATGCAGAACTTGCTGACTAGAAGGTCAGTGGTTCATATCTGTGGGACAGGGTGCTTTGAATGCGATTTTCCTGCTTCTAGGCAGGGAGTTGGACTGGATGGCCCACAAGGTCTCTTCCAACTCTATGATCCCATCATTACCCCCAGATTCTGCCAACCTAGCAGTTCAAAAAAATGCAAATATGAGATCAATGGGTACTGCTTCGGCGGGAAGGTAACGGTGCTCCATGCAGCCATGCTGGCCACATGACCTTGGAAGTGTCTATGGACAATGCTGGCTCTTCAGCTTAGAAATGGAGATCCCCCCCCCCCCCACAGTTGGACTCGACTAGACTTAATGTTGAGGGAACACTTTTACCTAAAGGAGGAAATCAGTGTTGTGCCTCTTAACCTGTTCCAGTAAAGGAGAAATGGCTTGAGTGCTGGACTAGGAAACTGGGAGACCAGGATTTGAGTTCCTTCTCAGCCATGGAAACCCACTGGTTGACCTTGGGCATGTTCCACTCTCAACTGAAAGGGAAGCAAAAGCAAACCCCTTTTTAATAGTCACCATAAGGCACATAACAAAGTAATATAAGAGCCTCACAGCCATCCCACCTCCCCAGGTTCAGTCCTGCCGGTTTTCTCCACATTTTCAGCAATGTGGAAGGTTCCTCGGTGACCCTGTCATACACTCTGTATGAGACAGGTTCCTTTCTGCCATTCCAGATACCAGAAAGCCTACACGTCAGAGGTAAGGAGCTTGGCAGGAGCAGGAACTTACTTCAACCTATTATTTAATTCAGAAGGGGTGAAAGAGTATAGCCACACACACACAAAACAAATGTTATTTTATTTCCTCAGAAAGCTTGCAAACTAGAATAGTGCATGCAAGTGTATAAACAGTTGTGATTCATGTTAAATCTCAGAATGGCATGGTGTTGTTCGTTCGTAGTACAAATGGAAGGCTTTCAAAATGTGGGTCAACATTTCACAGTGACTTGCAGTCATGGGGCTACAAACCAACATAGCTATTAGTAAAAAGTACATCCAGACTCTATGTATGACTTCAGAATATTAGACTATGGCGCACATACAAACAAGGCAGAATGCATGGAATGAGGATAAACAATTCATACGTTTGTAAAAGCCATTGAAATATACAAAGAATGCCAAATGAATTTGGTGGTTTGCTGCTTATAATCAATGAAGGTGGTTTTAGGAGGCGTAGGAATAACAAATATTGTGTGCATCTTGCTTTCCTTTTTTCTGCCTGTATCATACCTCTGTTCCAGATACTTGTTTGTTCTTAGATATATGTTCATATGCCTATTCACAGTTACACTCCATTAGGAAAGAAAAACATGATATTGAAAATGTATTTATCACCATAGTAACCCTAAATACACATTCAGATGAACTTCCACAGGATGGCTGGGCTCACTTCGGAGGGATTATGGAAACAAGCTGCCAATGAGATGTTGCAGCTTCAGCCATAGCTCCCTATATGAAACTAGAATTAAGCCAGTTCTTCCCCTCTACAGAAAAGTAATGTGGATTCTTTTCCTTTTCAAATAGACTAAAACCCAGTAAAAAGGAAAAAAGTTAAATATATATAAAGCCTCATGTGCAAAGTGCATTAATTTTTGACCATATTAACCACCCACTGAGTAACAAAACATCTGTAAACATTTTTCTGAGTTCTCCACAGTCCAATTATACCCCATTAGCAAGTATTAGTGTCCTACTATTCTTGAACTAATCCCATTTTCCCTTGTAGTATTTAGACCCATGTTATAGGAGAAAAAAAAAGCCCTCTTAGTTTATATTACTGTTGAGCCCTCCTTCAAAGTGAAGCAGTTTGGTCTCTAGAAGTCCATGATAATCTCTAGATGCACACTTCATATTCCAATTATGTATCAGGAGATGTGATTAAATCAGTCTTACAGTTACAACTAAAACCAGAAAATGTTCTGTAGTTCCAGAACTACCATTATTCTGACTCCCTCCACCCCACCCCCAAATGATTAGTGTGTAAAGGAGTCTCAAGACAAGAGGATTTCTTCTTACTTTTCAAAAATGGCAAATTAAGCAGCCCAGTCTTGAGCATAATGCCCCACTGCCTCCGTTTAGTACAATTCAGCGATAACACATGGAAGTTGCACAGCAACATGGTCTGGAGGAATACACACCCCCAAACTTGTGTTTCCTGTTCTCTTGAAGACAATCATAGTCTCAAAACGTAGTTGAAAACGCTGTATGTTTTCCGTTGTAGTTTTGTATTAAAACACATGTCAGAGGTAGCTAAATGGTGGTTCAAAACTATGGGCAGGACTCAATATTCTCTTACTTAATCCATCTTATCCCAGTTAACCCCTGCTGTGATTTGTCACTTGTTAAACCTCCTCACAGCCAACATTTCTACAATAACTGATGTAACCCCCCAGATTAGGAGGCATGTCTCAACCACAAGCAGGAAACAGCTCAACTGTTGTGGCGTTTTGTCAGACCAGGAATTTGGGAAACTAATTCTGTGAGGGGTGTAACAAGAAATCTTTTAAGCATCGCCACAAAAGGTGCCGTCCAACTCCCCCGAAGCACCTATTATGGTCACAAAGAGTGTAAGCTTGCAATCTATACAAGCCCCAAAGTAGAAATAATGGCAGGAAAAGAAGTCCATTATCTCAAGGGAGGCTTCCAGGGCGTAAGCCACCTGAAACAATGGTATTATACATAATATCAGACCTATCCACGTCTATGTTAAAATCCCTTTATATTCTCTTTTGTATTGCACAGTCAGGTCATTGGCCTTTTTACTATGCAGGCTGCTTTATATCAGCAATCTGCTTTTAACACTTATAGTATACGGTACATGGCAGCTATGCACATCTGCTGAAAGGCAACATCTTATTTCATGCAAGAAAAGGTGGAATTAAGTGCTCTTCCATCAATGGAAAGAGCCTGCTCTTTGCACAATGACAGGGCACTTCCCTCTCCCACAACCCCCAAAATCTGCTCCAGACAAATATAGCACACTCACAAATTAGTTGGGGAGCAGGGCTGGAGAGAGGAAAGCGGAATGGCCCTCTTCTTTTTTCTGCCAAAAGCATTTGTATCTGCAAAGGGACACTTGACCAGTGGCCCTTAACCTTTGGTCCTCCAGATGTCTGTGACGTCTGTTCCCAGAATTTCCTGCACACTGGCCATATTGGTTGAACTTCTTGGAGCTCCAAACCATCTGAGGGACCAAAGATTGAGGCCTCCTCACTTACAAAGACAATCTGGTTGCTAATGGAAAAATCAGTTCTGGAGGCTGGTTTGTTAATACTGAAATAGCAACCAAAAAAAAACAAAAAAACAAAAAAGGATTACAGTTCCCCTCACTTTTAAAGCCTTTGTCTCTCTGTGGCTTACATCAGAAATAAAACCAGTATTGTGAAACATAAACAAAAAGTTGGGTTATTGGGTTTTTTAAAAAAAATGAGAGAAATTTAAAACTTAAGTAACATGGACATTGCTTGTAACTTTTGAGTAACAGTGGAAATGCCTATATCAAAGTGCGCAAGATTAGATGTAACTTCCAGAAGTCTCTCCTTGTAGCTCCTCCTGTCTTACCACAGGACAGAGCAGTACTTATAAAGTTGTATGTGCACAGAGTATCACTCCAGGTTCAGCAGCTGGATTTCTCCTTTTGTTTTGCTAATGTGCGTTTCAATTCTTTTAAATTCTCCGTCAGTACTTCTACCTCGTCCATCCGTCCACTGTGTTTGGCATCAAAAATATAAGCTTTGATATTATCTATCTGCTGAAGGAGCAATTCCTCTTCTATGATGTCTTCTCCTGACACTTCATTCTCATCATCATCAACTTCAAACGGATTCATCGAAGAGGAGGGGGACTCTTCAAACGGGTTCCCCGATTCCTGCCGACTCACAGGAGGGGAATGAAAGGGATTTCTGGCAGCATCTTCAAAGGGGTTTGGAGCACTGACTGCGGCTCCATTTGCTTGGTGACAGTCCTCATCTTCAAATGGGTTGTATTCTTTTTTACCACTGTGCAGAACTTGGATGGGCAAAGGAGTCACTGGGGAGGGATCTTCAGCAAAGGGATTATCAGGCTCCATCTTTAAGGAGGTAACCACTTCCTCATTTTCAAAGGGGTTTAGGGGCACAGTCACATTCTGCCCAGTTACGCCATCAGGCTGTGGAATTCTCTGAAGCTGAGCAGGGAAGACTGGGCTGTCATGAGTTGGTGCTTTGCCTCCACTACATGGCGAAGGGGTTTTAGAGCCTGGGTTGCTTCGGTTTTGAGTCGTATCAAGATCCAAAGCCTGTGCTATTTGGTTAGTGCTCTCCTTTCCAGTCTCGGCTGTACTGTGCTTTGCCTCTCTGAAGTCCAAGGAACGTGTCCGTGAATGCTGAGAGAGTCTTTTCTTGTGCTCCCTCTCCCATTCCTTTTCGCAGAGGATTTGCAGCTGTTCTCTCTGCATCTCCTCCATCTCCGCCTGCCTCTTAGACAGCTCAATGGCCCTTTCGGTTTGCTGCTGATCATACTCATCTTGAAGTTGTCGCAGGTTCTCTTGCAACATCTGCACCTCATCCAGACGATTTGCCTCCTTGGCTTGCTTAATGAAGGAGGTGATATTGTCAATCTGCTGAAGAAGAGGGTCTGCCAGTTCTTGCTGGCGGGATACGCTGGCAGTGGGGAGCCAGCCTTCAGCTTTCTTCACTCTTTTCGTCCGAGACACTTCGCCATTAAGCGCTGTCAAGGAGCGCGAAGTGTAGTCCATGGACTTATTATCCTCCTGTCTTCTCTGTGTTTCAAGAGTTGCCTAGCCAAAAGAAATAAAAAAACATTAAACATTGAAAGGATCCTGGCAACACAAAAACCATGTTTCCACTCCATCATTTCCCAACATTGCTTCAGTTCCTGAGAAGGGTGTGGAGATTTCTCACTTATCTTGGCATATGTCATATTACGCAATGAGCACAGGGAGAAGCTCTGCTGAAGCACCTGCAACATCACATAACAGGAGAAAGAGGGACAAAAGGAGTCCCAGAATTTGAATCCCAAAAGCAACAAGACTGAAATGCAAAACAGTAATTTGATCCTAAATCCTACCGTTTCATCCTGATTAGAGCAAACCTCCCTCACATCAATTGTTCCAATAGTGAGGAATACCCACTAATTCAACGGGCCTGCTCCAGTTTAGATTCACAATATAATTTAAGCTTTTGTTTGCATCATGTATTTTGACATCTAATATTTTTAGAAGGACATTCAAGAGCCAATAATTTTAACTGATGTATTACAAAGACCAAAAAAGAGCTTTTGCAAAAGCATTCCAATACTGACAGAGATACTCACCTGTCTCTCCATCTGCAATTTTCTCTCCAGTTCTTGCTTCCTTTTCTCTTTCAGCCCTTCATATTGGTCTTGGGTTGGTAGGGACATTAGACCAAGTAATTTTTCCTGCAGAATTTAAAAATAAATACTGCCTTTAAAAAGGTACAGGTCGCATGGTTGTAAACCTTTCAAAAATTAAAACAATTGTTAAAATGTAAGAGAATATATACTGATGCTGCAACAACTAAACTCCCTTTTTAAACTGAATACTGTATTTCATCAAATGCATTCAATTGAGCCATTTCCCTGGGTCTGCAAAGCCTGAGCAAAGCTTGGAGGTTACTCATTGTGATAGGGCTACCATAAATCAAGGGAAGTTAGCAGCAACAACAAAGAACTGAATAGGGAAAACATACTCAAGACTTGAACGTGGGTAGAGAACAAATGGTCATATTAAAATGAGGGGAAACTGACACTATGTGAAAAAGTTTGGTGAACTTATTTTTTGATATAGCATAAAAAGTGAAGAATACTCTTCCTTTGCAAAATCATGTATCAGATGGTTTACAAATTATTTTTTGGAAATTAAACATCTCCATGAACACCTCTCTTCAAAAAATGTAATACAAAGCTGTTTACTAGGCTTCTAAATAGTAATTTAGTAATAAAAACAGCACAACAGCAATCAGAAAGGAATATGTTAGTACACTGCAAAGCCAATTAACTGTAAAAAGACATCAATGGAGGATAACAAACTTTATAATATCCAGAAACATACTTATCTAGGAGTAGTATGTCATCTTCACTTGTTTCAAGAGACAGCATATCCTCTGTCTAAGACCAAATCATTCCTCTTAAAGATGACCTACCTGTACAAAAAGTGTAGCTGAATATCTGATCATTCTCTGAAGCTGTAACGTTCTGGGATGTGGCTGTGGCTCTTCATTCAATCCCAGGGTTAGAATTTTCTTGCTGAATGAAAAGAAATCCAAAACCATAGTAGAACTATCCATTTAACAAGTCCATTATGAGTAATATGTAAGCACAAACCAGAAAGTTACATAGACACTCATGTTCAATTAGATGAAATCTTTGCAATAAGAAGTAATACAATATATTTGTGGTTATTATTACTCTTTTGAAGGGCCATTATTGTAGCATAGTAAGCTGGCAAGGTGCATTTTACTATATTTTGTCATCAAAATCTCATTTTTAAATTTTATTTTAGTTGATACATTTTCGACAATTAACAAACTTTTAAAATATAAGACTTATCTCAGTATACATTATTCCAAAAGAAAATATTCCTTAAATGGCACTTTATACATTCCTTAGATGTGTATCACACATGTTGCTATGCCAACATCTCATCTTGGACTTGGGACTGATACCAAACAAAAGAAGTAGCAGAGCTTTGGCTTTGTTTTATTTTCTGTGTCAGCAAATTGGGTTTGCTTCCTTGGGTCCCAAATTGTTTAAAAGAGATGTTGTCCCTCAGTTTTATAGACTCCCACTGAGACAACAGATTAGCTGTGGACACTGAGCACAATTGTAATTTTGATGAAAAGAAGGCTTAAATCAGCATTTATGGAGTGAAATTAATGGCCTTATGCATGCCTGGATCTGGGCGATATATGATATTTGTATACTAACTTTAAAATTGTTTTCACTGAAATATGAAAAGCAACAACACAAATCCAAAATATTTTAACAGATATTCTACTTCTAAGTTTTTATAATGTACCTTAAAGCATCTATTAGTTCATACATCTTCTGCACCTCCATCCGGAGCCTGTTTGCATGTTCAAGACTGTAGGTTGTCTCTCCGGCACTGGAAGAAAACACGCAGATTGACATTCCTCTAAAATTCCAAGGTCACTATTACAGCAAAGCATCTTCTAACCCAAACCACTTAATTATTTTGGGGTATGGCCATTCTCCCTTCTGTATTCTTCCCATTCATGAGTCCAGAAAGACAGGGGAGAAAAATCTGATAAACCAAACTCCACAGACCTTAATATCACCTGGAACTTACATAATTCAATAAAACAATCACAGTGATTCCCATTCTTTGTAGATTGTGAAGGATAATTATTCACAAATTATATAATGAAAGCTTAGAAAGATACCTCTCTACAAATACAAAACCAAGGTTGCAAAATCTGAACATTTCTCTTAAAACCAGATGTAGACGTGTCAGATTCTACCATGACAGCGCCTCAATATTACATGCAGCATGCTGGAAGAAGCAAAGACACTAGCACTGAAGCGATGCTCCCATATCATCAACTCCGCTGGACTGGCCACGTCCAAATGCCTGCCTGTTCACCGTTTTCCAAAGCAGTTACTCAACTCCCAACTCAAGAATGGAAAATGGAATGTTGGTGGACAGGAAAAGAGATTTAATGATGGGCTTAAGGCCAACCTTAAAGACTGTGGCATAGACACCGAGAATTAGGAAGCCCTGGCCCGACATGAATGGAGGGAGAAAGGGAGAAACGTGCCAAGAGGAAGGTGTATCAAGCCAGCCCTGACCAGGACCGCCTTCCACCTAGAAACAGATGTCCTTACTGTAGAAGAACATGCGGGTCAAGAACAGGGCTCTACAGTCACCTATGTATCCACCACCAAGACACTAAACTTGGAGGGCCATCATACACAGACAACAAGGGATCGCCTAAGCAAGTAACCAAGCAAGTATTACATGCAATATTATCAGATTAAACTGTTTTCAAAGACATAAATCATGCTTTATATACACTGAAAGACACATGGATTCCTTTGTTTTGAACATGCCATTTGTTCCTCAGATTTTGAAGTTTAGTTCCTCTTTCACATTTTTAAGACTATTATTTTGACATGCACGTGTATTCCATGATTCTAATATGAAACACCATTGATACTGTTAGCCTGGTATAGTCATCAAGGAAAGTGGGAGTCGTGCTGCCTATTTAAAATTATAAGGGTTTGCTTGTTTTTTTAATTCAAAGACAAAGAAAGAATGGTCAGTTTTTCTAAGAGGAATTCTGTATTTTGAAGTCATTCAGTCCATGTCTATTGCAGTTGCTAATCATGAATACAAAACGTTTAACCATATTCTTTACTATCTAGTTATCGCTGTGCACTTAATGCTTAGCTTTAATAAGTTGCTCTATAGATAGTACAACTTTTTTCTCCCCTGAAAACTACATACTAACAACACACATATCCAAGAGTACAACTGAACAGGCTTACTTTAATGATTCGGCCATCTTTATGTATTCCGGGGCCTTCTGATCAACTTTTTCCATGCAAAGTCGAAGTTTCTTGTTTAATCAATAAAATCAACAGATTAACATTTAAGTATGGACATCAACAATTCAGATACAAATATATTTCCTATGGGTTCCATTTTCTCTTTCTTCTTTGAATAACTATTCAATAAATAAACAATAAACAACTTACAATCTGGTAGTCATTGCCAAGCTGGATACTTAAAAGAGTAAGACTTTAAACTTAAGTTACTAGAGAAGGCCTTGGACTTTCCGACAGTGAATGGCTGACAGACCCAGGTTGACACCACTTTAATTGCCATGGTTCATTGCTGTGGAATCATGGCAGCTTAGTTTGGTCAAGCAGTAACACTTTGGCAGAGAAGCTGAAGACCTTGTAAAAGTACAAGCCTCACTGTTGCTTAGCACTGAGTCATGGCAGTCTAAGTGGCATTGAACTCTTTTAATTCTACAGTGTAAAACAGCTTCAAAAGAGCTGTTCCTCCCAAGAGCTCCAATGGGTAGATCTTATGCAAACCAACTGTCATATAGGGTACCCCCTCCCATAACACAGCATCAAAAAGTTAAACTATTAAACTCTCTCTCTCCGCTCATGAAGTAATTGGAACATAAACACGACAGAACACATCAAATAACTATGAAATGAGATGGAATATCTCCAGGGAGTAAAAATTTCCTAATAAAACTAGTGGTCTGGGCACTAGCAAAAACAGGAGGAGCATATTTTGAATGGGTTAAGAAGTGGTGCAATGCAGCCTCCCAAGTCAGGAAATGTTTCCATGCAAATTGAATGCATGATCCTGACACACCTCTGCACCTATATCTATAGGATATTCAGTTGAAATCCCCATGGAGTAATCAACAAAGTCTGCAATTCCTATCCTGTTCTGCAAAGAAATACAGAAATTAGGAGTTCTCTTTAAAAAAATGTTCTGAAAATAAGATTTTAGTTTGATCTCAAGTCTACTTGTGTGGTCTTCCAAAGCACAGGATGGGCCAAGGCCACAAAGGGGTTTCAATATTTAACAGCAGTTTTATTTTATTTATTTATTTTGTTTCTAATTTACAATACCATACTACCATATACAGTATAAGGTAGTTCTTGGTTTACAAACAAAATAGTTTCTGTAGGTTTGTTCAAGTTGAATTTATATATAAGTCAGAAAAGGTACATTTTTAAGTGTAACTCGAGCCAAACATTTAATTTCTGATAGCATAGGGAAGGGTTAACACTCTTTTAATGTTTGTTTACTATCTTTGCCCTGTTCAGAAGATTGCACCTCTCTTTCTGCCCTCGAGACAATTAGGTTTTGAAAATTTTGGGTTGTCATGGAAAGAAGGACTGGTGATAAAGTTTCAATGAAGACAGCTTTTCCCCATGATATGAGTTAATTTTCCTTCCTAGGGATAATATTTCCTCTCACTTTCTGTCGTTTCCCTCCCGTTTATAATCATGAGTTGTATGTAAGACCAATGCCTGTATAAATGTACATTACATGGCAAATATTAAATTTTGTAAATTGCCTCCAATATCATAGCATCATATTGTGACTTTTGGCCTACCTTGGATGAAAACATTTCTATTGACTTGGTTAATATTCAATTGGTGATAAGTATATTCATTACTATTTCAAAAGTCTTGGCGACAAACAAATCTTACTTCACTTCCAATCCTCATAAAGAAGTGCTAATTTACCTCATAGAGTTTGACGATGTCTGGGGTGTACTCTCTCTCATCAATCTGTTGTTCTCTTTTGAGCAGCGTGTCTTTACAATGTCGACAACAACGGATGCGGTCATCGTCCTTCTCATCCATGACAGAGCTCACACTGCTGATGCTGCTGATGCTGCCACGGCGTGAGCCCTGAACACTATTCGGGGAACAGTTTGGGCTCGTATGAGAGGTCAAGACTTCCTTGCTGGCAGTGGTGAGTTTGTCTGAAAGGGGACATCAGTACAAGATCAATGGCCCATGAGGCAGGTCCTGTACACAGGTTCAAACATTTTCAGCCAAGTCCTTACTCTACATAACATGAGAGTAATGATAGCCTACTTTACACAGTGGTTGTTAGAAAGAATGCAGTTAACCTCTTGGGAGTTGAACATGAGCCAATAGTGTGGTGAAGCAGTTTAAAAAGTCAATGGGCTGCAGCAAAAGGAGTATAGTGTCTAGATGGAGGAAAGTCATAGTGCCTCTCTATTCTGCTTTGGTTAGACCTCATTTAAAATACTGTGTCCAGTTCTGGGCACCACAATTTAAAAGAGATATTGACAAGCTAGGTGTCCAGAGATGGGCAACTAAATGATCTATATATCTGGGGGTCATAATTTCACAAACATTAGAAACATGTAAGACAATTTATACTGAAAGACTACTCACTGGCAAAGGGAAGGCTGACCAGTTCCATGCACTTCTTGCACATGATGGAGCCACAGAGGCGGCAGTGGTGGCGCCTGTTCCTGATGCTGAACTTGTTACCACAATCTGGACAAAACGGCACATCCTGATCATTGACCCAAGGCACAACAGACTTCTCAATTGCTGTGACAAGAGAGGAAAGCTATCAAATGTTACCAGTGAAATCCATGGTAGGAAAGTTCAACAGAGGTCAAAATGCCTGTACATACCTCTTATTTTTGCAGAATCAGTACTGGTTCTGTCAAAGGATGTAAGCTGATGAAAAAAATAATCATGAGAAATCAGATACAATGTAGATTTCTATTTTATTTTTTAACATGGTTTATTTTTTTAAGTAAGTTTTTAGTCTCTGCTTCTCCTTTACTATCATTAAAGTCATGTGTGTCTTGAACCTCTCTTTTAGTAATGCCCATGTACATTAAAATAAACAGTAAAGAACTTCATAGGGAGAGGGAAAAGATTTTAGAGAAATTTTATTATTCCAGCCTCTATTTAGTTCCTAACTGAGCAATCTTTGGAATAGCGGGTGAAATCCATATGATCTGAATTTATTATATTTTTGACACGGAAATTTTAAAAAGAAGACATCAAACAAAACAGACCATTTTTAAAAATAGTATATGTGTTTTATACCATTAAAAAGATTGCATTTATTTGTTGCATTTATATCCTACTACATCCTAAAGAATGGGACTTAATGCAGTAAAAGTAAAATAAGACAAATACTGTTTAAAAAAATGAAAATACTCCAAGAAGAGGAAATACAACTTTGCTAAATGAAAATTAAGCAAATCATGCAATAGGAATGTAAATTTAGAGGAAAGGCGAGGGGAGGGGATCAAAAACCGAGAAATTTACCTTTTCTAATCTGATTATTAATTTATTTACTTCCACCACATAGTGATCGATTCTGGCTGCTCTGTGCTTCTTAAAATCAGAAAGATGGCTCCTCACAGCACCTGGTAAGAAACAACCAATCAGTACACTTGCTAGAGTCAATCAACTTTATATCTTCAATTAACAGGCAATTTACTATGTTCTTACTTTTTCTCCGGCCCACCCCCTGTTTGGGTATCAGCCACCATGTCAACGACTTAAATCAAGAAATAGTTTTCTAAGATCTACAGAGACACTCGCTGGAACACCTCAGCAAGCGAGAGTCCAAAAGTGGCAGGCTCAAACCCAGAACCTCAATCAATGGCTGATACCAAATGAGAGACTCCCCTCTGGGCACACAGAAAACTGGGCAACTTGGAAGGCGCTGAACAGACTGCGCTCTGGCACCACGAGATGCAGAGCCAACCTTAAGAAATGGGGCTACAAAGTGGAATCCACGACATGCGAGTGTGGAGAAGAGCAAACCACTGACCACCTGCTGCAATGCAACCTGAGCCCTGCCACATGCACAATGGAGGACCTTCTTGCAGCAACACCAGAGGCACTCCAAGTGGCCAGCTACTGGTCAAAGGACATTTAATCAACTACCAAGCTTGCAAACTTTGTGTTTTGTTTTGTTTGTTTGTTAAAAAAATGAAATATAACTGTCTGGTTTGCTGCTGACACGATAAATAAATACTTTTCCTCTATTAACTCTCATTTGTCACTCAGACTGAAATTAAATATCAGAAGAGTGAACGATATCACACACTTTCAAAATACTGTTCTGTACATTTGTGTTATTGTATCCTGCTAAAGTCTTCCTCAATGAAACATGTCCATACAACGATACTTCTGAAAACAGTATCAACATTGACCATCTTCAGCATAATCCTCTCTATCTGATCAGAAGTAAGCAGACTTGGTTGAATTCCATGAGCTTCACTCACAGATAAGTAGGCACAACACCTCAGCCTTAATTTCCCAATTACAAGTCAACCCCACTTTACAATAAAAAAACAATTTACAGGTGCTCTTGGGACATTGTCTCTAATTTAATTGCCCTGGCTCAATGCTGTGCCGTTTGTAGTCTGGTGAGGCATCCGCCTTCTTTGGCAGCCCCCATGACCCTACACCTTGGAGTCAGAGCAGTTAAAGTGGATTCATTGTACAGAATAGATCCACCCAAGTTTTCTTTTTTGTTGCTGAAAGCTTTGGTGTTCTAACACTTTTGTTTTTAAAGGAGTTATAAGCATGCAGCCACTGTAATGCACAACCTTTTTGGCCAAATTACCAAGAGTGCACTCTTTTCCTCTATACATTACAGTCGCTAGCAAATACATTTTTGGTTTCAGGGTTTTGAAAATTGAGGTGCACATTAGATTAGATGGTGCATTAAAGATAGAGGTTTCCCCTAACATTAAGTCTAGTCGTGTCCAACTCTGGGGAGGGGGAGGGGGGTGGTGGTGCTCATCTCCATTTTTAAGCCAAATAGCCAGCAATGTCCATAGACACCACCAAGGTCATATGGGCAGCATGACTGCATGGAGTGCTGTTACCTTCTCGCAGAAGTGTTACCTATTGATCTACTCACATTTGCATGTTTTTGAACTGCTAGGCTGGCAGAAGCTGGGCTTAACAGTAGGAGCCGCTCACCGGATTAGAACTGCCAACCTTTTGGTCAGCAAGTAGACTTGAATAAATATGGGTATATATGATCCATGAGCCATAATTAAAGATAAGTATGAGACTGAGATAACATTCCAAACTGTGTTAACTACTTGATGAGACAAAATAATGTTTAGTGCCTGTATATAACACAGCAATGAGGGAGACAATTTCATCTCCTTCAGCAAAGAGCTTCATACTATTTGAATGTTACATTGTGGTCTGCAAAGAAAAGGTTTACAGATCTGCAAACTACAGAAGCCTTTTTTAAAACAATCAATGGCACAATTTTTATACAGACTGCAAAGTAATCCAAGTGAAATTCAGTAAAAAAAAAACTAAGAAAAAAATAATAAAAAGCAAACAAGTTTAAATCTGGTAAACTGTATTTATAATTTTGCATTGGACTATGGTCCTAGTATCTAAGATATTCTGTTATATTCAACAGGCTTATTTATGCTTGAATCTATATACACTAGGCACTTAGGGGCAACTGATTCTTTGGGGAAGCAATAGTAGTCTCCCAATTATTCCTTCTGAATTCCCCAAACATTCTCCTCAATTGGAGGACAGACCTATGTGCACTAAGTACTTTGTCTTTCACCCAAAGCAGCAAAATATCTGAAAGCAAGTATTTCACAATTTACCTAATTCTTGGGGCTCCCACATGTATGGATCCACTCCACCATAACTGTAAGATTCATATCGCTCCTGGCCCCCATCAGTTCGATCATCATCTCGTTTCAACAATTTATTCTTCGCTTTTTTAGCTTTTTGAACAAGATCTGAAAGAACAATTGATACACATCACACACACTTGTTATATATGCCAACCTTCTCCCAAACTTCCTTATGTGTCCATCAGACCTTGGATAACACAAATAACAATCTTGCCTGCTTGCTGCTGAATCTGTCAAACAACTGGCCTGTTTTGTTTCCCCAGCCATAAAAATAGTGTGGATATAATCAAGAAGTTTTCAAGAAGTTCTGATGATAGGAAGAACTATATAAGGACTTCAAATCAGAAAACAAGCCTCAAGCTGGTGGGAATACAAATGTGCCAGTCAGCCAATCAGCCCAATTATTGGCAGCTCATGGGAATATTTTGTACCCTGAAGCAGACTTAATTTGGGAGGCAGTGTGTGAAAGAGAACACCAGACAAAGCGGAAGATGAAAGTATTTTTAAGGTAGAACAATGACGCATTTAACAGCCTTCAGAGAGCCAGGTAACAACTTGTAACAAGTTAAGGAAATTAAAACCTCTTGCAAATCTGTTGCTTTTGGCAATTTGCTGTAAATTGACTGCAGAGTGTTTGGCCATTTTAAACAGGGGAAAAGTTGCCCAATAATTACCAACTGAACATAACCTTTCTGTTTTTATAGCTTTAGTGTATTCTTCTTGTTAAAATTGTATGGTTACTAAAGGCTATTCCCTAGAGCGATCCTGAATGTCTGACAGCATCATCAATCAAAGGTAAACATCAACACTTCAAAATCAGCATGACTATCCAAATCACTCCTGAACTCAAAGCAGCTCAACTGCATTTGTTCCTTTGGGTGCAGAATTATGTGTATACTTTAATGTCTCTATGAGTCAGCCCACATACTTTTTTGTTTCCTTTATTTCTTAGCTAGTTTCACTCAACTAACATCCCAGGAAAATCTGAAAATTGAGTGTTCACACGAGTAAGAGTAAATAAATAACAAGTATTACCTTATTGCTTTTGCAGTTCTGAACCAGTAGTACACTTTCAGCACTACTATCAGGTCCATGAACAATTACATCTTTTTTCTAACATCCCACCTCCTTCCACCACAAAGACAAATGAAACGCCTTTTGGCTATACAGTATTCTATTAACCAACAGTAAAAAGGCAAAAAAAGGGCATACTATGCTATTTTGAATACCTCATTTTGAAATCTTTTGGAGTTTATAGAATAAGAGAGTTGGAAGAGACCACATGGGCCATCTAGTCCAACCCCCTGCCATGTAGGAAAAGCACAAAGTATCCCTGACAGATGGCCTCTGTTTAAAAGTTTCCAAGGAAGGAGCTTCCACCACACTCCGATGCAGCGAGTTCCACTTTTGAACAGCTCATATGGTGATGAAGTTCTTCTTAATGTTCAGGTGGAATCTCCTTTCCTGTAACTTGAACACATTGCTCCTAGTCCTAGTTTCAAGGGCAGCAGAAAACAAGCTTGCTCCCTCTTCCTTATGGCACCATTTCACATATTTGTACATGGCCATCATGTCTCTTCTCAATCTTCTCTTCTGCAGGCTAAACACACCCAGCTCTTTAATCCGCTCCTCATACAGCTTGTTTTCCAGATCTTTGATAATTTCAGTTGCCCTCCTCTGGAAACCTTCCAGCTTGAACCGTGGTGCCCAGAATTGAATACAGTATTCCAGGTGTGGTCAGACCAAAGCAGAATAGAGGGACACAATGACTTCTCTGGATCTAGACACTATATTTCTTTTGATGCTGCCCAAAATCCCATTGGCTTTTTTAGTTGCTGCAACACACTGTTGGCTCATGTTCAGCTTGTTGTCCATGAAGACTCCAAGATCTTTCTCACATGCACTATTGTCGATCCAGGCATCACCCATTCTGTATCTTTGCATTTCATTTTCTCTGTCTAAGTGTAGCATCTTACATTTGTCCTTGTTGAAATTCATTTTGTTATTTTTTAACCCAGCTCTCTAATCTGTTAAGGTCATTTCTGTTAGGGAATTCAACACTACACCACACAAGGTCCTTTCACTGCTTAGAAAACTTAAATATCAGAGACAGAAGGCATAAGAGTTTCTGCTTTGCCTCTGACACAACTGCTACAGTCTCACACTCAAAGGGAAAGTTTTTTTCTCTCAACTCCATGTTTCCCTGATAGGAGAAAATCATCATCTCATTTCCTTTCTTGCTGAGCTGATGGGGAAGTAATGGGTGTGTTCTCTATAAATGTGCTGTTCTGTTATGATTTGTTCTACTTGGTCACTAGCAGGACATTTTTAATATTGCCAAGGCAAGTTTCTCCGATTAATTTAAATGATTCTGGATAGAGAATTTTTTTATCACCTGTATGTTTCTGACAGCTAGGATGTGTTTTATATGTTGTGTCATGAAGTCCCTATCTCACTGTGCTCACAATCAATGCCAGAGGAACATAACGTTATGCCAACATAGTCCTGGATGAGCTGAACCTGAATGCCTTCTGGTCTTGAAGCTGGTACACATTGCTGCAGTCTAAAAGAGTATTGTGTACCTCCTTAAACCCCAATAGGATTCTGCCTAAAGGACCGCTTCTCCTTCCAGGCTGTTCATGTAGGATCCAAAGCCTCAAAAAGGATCCATGGATTGTTTTAGTCACTGTGCCACAGTCATTCAAACTGGGTTATGACCTGTATGAACATTTCGTTGTTGTTGTTGTTGTTGTGCCTTCAAGTCATTTCTAAGCTATGGCAACCCTATCAAGGAATTTTTTTGACAATATGTGTTCAGAGGGAGTTTGCCTTCAGACTTGCCCAAGTCGACCCTTCAGACTTGCCCAAGTAAAATTCAACCCCTGGTCTGCAGAATCCTAGTCCAACACTCAGCTCACTACACCACACTAGCTTCCTGTATGCACACTAGGGTAAAAAGCTATCAAGCAAACATTTGGCTAACAGCAAGGTGGCTTGCTTCCTTCCATGTCTTGCTGATAACTGACAATATCATCACTGTAATTAAGCTTATGATTTTTCAGATGGCATGAGAGCTGCTGCACTATCTACATTTTAATGCAATATTGTTTTGCTGTTAACTTTACTAATGGGTGGAGATCAGATTATTACATCACATGAACTGTATGTCAGCATTATCAGCTGCTAGCACTGGCAACAGCATAAGGACACTTTTCTGTAAAGCATTCCATCAGGGCTGTAAAGTAAGAAATTAACTAACCCAATTCCTATAGTTATGTATTGTACAACCTTTAACCTATATTAATCAAATTTATATAATGAAGGGAAATTTGTTGTTCCTTGAAGTATTAAAATATTTTGTAACAGTAAACTAGTGTGATTTTTATAATTTTATAATTATATAATATTATTATAAAAGTTTAAATCTATTGTCATTGTTGTTTTATACATGTAAGGCATGTGATTATGTTGGGAACCGCTCTGAGTCCCCCTAGGGGTGAGAAAAGCGATATATAAGTGCAATAAATAATATAATACAATACAATACAATACAATATAATCTAACAGTTGTACCAAGACCCATCAGAGGTAAATGACAACTGTTGTATTTGTTAACTATTTTCAACTTTGTGCAAATGATATTTTCCTTTCCATTATACAGAAGACATTTTTCTAACTGATAATTGTATACAACATAGAAATTATGGCTTCCACCCTACTGTTGCACAATGCATAGTTATTTCATATGACAACAAGTCATAAATATCGAACACTGTCCCATATTTACTCCTGAAAAATCAGGACAGCTATAGCATTTCTTACTTTTGAGTTGTCCTTTCACATCTTTGTCTTCGATAGAATGTTCTTCTTCATAATGAGACTGAAGTTGATAAAATGACTGCAGGTCCTTCAGACACAGAGGACACAGAAAGCCTTCTCTCACCTCGCCAGGGTCATCAAATGGAGGTGTGTAGCTTGATGCCATAGTGGTCCAAGAATGCCAAGGTCAATGACACTCTCTAGATCTCAGTAGCAGGGGAGCAACAGTATGCCATGCAGCAGGATGACCATGAATTTGGACTAATAATGAGGAAAAAGGCTCTTTGCCTTTTCAATTTGTACAAAAGATTGTCCTGAAAGAGATCCAGATATAAGTTTTAAAAACAGGATAAACTATTTTGCTCAGATTAATCCTTTAAACCATTCTCTCCAGTAGTATTATGTTACTATGCTGAAACAACTGCATGGTTTCAAATTAATTACCAACAAAAAAAAACCTTTTTATGGATATTTTAAAACTTTACTAAACCTTGTAGAAAAAGTGTAACCCTTAGTGGAGCTCAGGTAGTGTCCCATTAATATGTTTACAGAGAAATTTATTGAATGTGCAAGTGGCTTATTGCTTTCAAGGGAATGTGCATATGATACAACTTGCAGGGCTAGTATGAAACAATCCACAAGAATTGTGTAAAAGATAAAAACAGAAAAGCTATTTAAAATAGACATACGTGGATAAATGAAGACGCATCCAGCAAACATTCCTAGGATGAGCTGGGCCTTTAATCTTGTCTAGTAAACATTCAACATATTTGATCTACTCCAGTTAGGCAACTGGCTATACAAGAAAAACAAATACTTTAGGGTGGGGCAGATCTGTAACTGTAGCAGAAATGAGAGAAATAAATGTGCAGCTGACCAGACAAGAAGAAAGTGTTAGTTGTGCTTTACAAAATTGTCCTTGCACAATATTTGACTATTTTAGCTTCTCCTACTTTATAAATTTATAACTGTTTATGTCACAAACCCACCCATATGCACAATAGGTGAGATTCCAGATCAATCATGCCTAAAGCAAACTTGTTGAAATCAGATGTAAGTCAAATTTAAGACATGTAGATATCAGTGGGTCTTTTCCAAGCGTGGCTAAGCCTTGACTCATCCTAATATTTCCAATTTGGGCATTTCTCCTTATGTCAGAAATCCATTCAATTATACTATTTATTTAACATATTCCTCTTATAAAGAGTAGTCTTTTTACAAGCAAAATAAAAACTGTAAAAGCTGCCATGGATTACAGCATATCCATGATGACGTGCAGATTACTACTGATATGACTTACTATAGCCCTAGAAGAAGTCACAAATTTCACTACAATTCTCTAAATTTCAGAGAAATCAGTCTAGAAAAAAAGAGTACTCCTACACATCACTATCTCAATCATTTTTTTCTTGCTATCCTAAACACATTTCATTTCGTTTTCAAGATACCTGAAGAAATGGCAATATCCTTAAGGTCTTTATTTCTGCAAAACAGGCTATTATGAGCTGAAATATATGGTTCTACATATTTGTAAACTATGCATCTTTACGTTTAATGCATATTGAAAATGTATAAGATAAATATTCTGTTTCCAATTAGTAATAGTGAGATTTAGGGTGTAAAATATAGCTTAGGTCAGTGTTTCTCAAACTGTGCTCCTCCAGGTGTTTTGGACTTCAGCTCCCAGAAATCCCGGCCACCTTACCAGCTGTAAGTGTGGGAGCACAAAAACATTGGGGGGGGGGGCAGTTTGGGAAACTCTGGTCTAAGGGGGTTTTTTTACAAGCAATATGCATTTTGATAGAACCAAGCATCAAGCTGGGGTGCCAATTCAGTATTTTAATACAATTGTAACAGGACAAGTCTTTTGACGTTTTAAAGACAATAGCTGTTACACATAGTAACTGCTACCATAGCCTTTGCCTCTTGCATCATCACAGCTTTCTGCAGAGGAAACTTTCTGCCCAATACACAAATCACTGCATACTCACAGCTTTTGACATACTCATATTCTATTAGGCAACCCCTCACAAAATGGTTTGAACAATTACTAAAGAAAGCAGAGTTCTTCTCTTTGCTTTTCTTGATACATCTCTGATCAAATGGAGACAAGGTGGAAGAATAGGTTTTATCACCTTTAAGTAAAAAAAAAAATCAAGCAAGAGGAATGTTCAAACCCAACCATCTAATGGCTATATTGCCCTTCTTTCTGAAATGACCCACAGGAAAATGTAAGAAATGTGTCTTTCCGTTTGCCATAGAAAATTATGCAAACCATTTTATCACCCAAATGGGCAACCACTTCAACTTCATTCCTGTCTGGTTAGAATGGCGTACATATCTAATTTAGCAGGTAAAGAGGGAGAATTGAGGCCACACTACACAAACAGGTTTGGGCAACAGCAAATGCAGGTTACCTCCCTTTTTTGTTCAGATAAGATTCCTTAAATGGGACATGTGCATAACAGAGAGAAATGGGATAGGTGCTATCTCCCCCTAAAGCAGTGGTTCTCAACCTGTGGGTCCCCAGATGTTTTGGCCTTCAACTCCCAGAAATCCTAACAGCTGATAAACTGGCTGGGATTTCTGGGAGTTGTAGGCCAAAACATCTGGGGACCCACAGGTTGAGAACCACTGCCCTAAAGGCTGGGCAGGAGTGGGGAATGATTTTCTTGTTTCAGTCTTCAGCAGAGTGGAAACTATTTCTGATCAGGCCTTTCTTTTGAAACACATAACTCTCATATCTAATCTCAATTACAAAGACAGAGCAAGAAAGAGCCAATTCACCATTCAAGCTGTAAAATAAATCCCTGATCTAAAAGCCTGCAGTTGCTTCCCCCTGTAACATTTGAGTATGACATGAAAAGTGATATGTCTTTAAGGTCAACTCATTTTCCATGAAAATCCAAACTGCTTCCTCTTCCATAACCTAATTATTGTTATTGTTGCATCAAGAAAGGGGTGTGGTGGGTCTAGAAAACGTGCACAGATTTCAGTGCCTTTTAAATTCACGTAATAAAGATATTATCGACGGGACTGTTCAAAGAAGGCATACATATAACACATCCTGTGAATGAAAAGGGTGGGATGGTGAGGATTGCATATGGCTTGAATACGATACCAATATTTGTGTATTTGTGCTATCATTGAGATATCTGCCATCCAGCTAACATGCCTTGCATTTATATTATTATTATTATTATTATTATTATTATTATTATTATTATTATTTATAATATTTATACTCTGCTTTATCTTCCCTGAAGGGGACTCAAAGCGGCTCTATTTCTATTCTAATTCACATTCCCCTTCCAACCATAGGTATGATTTTGCTTCATGCACTTGATGTAGTAGACTGGAGGGCATGAGAGCTTATGCAGCTTCAGAGTACCTCTACACCAGGCATGGGCAAACTTCGGCCCTCCGGGTGTTTTGAACTTCAACTCCCACAATTCCTAACAACTGAGTGGCTGGGATGCTGTGTGTTTTCTGTGCTGTATGGCCATGTTCCAAAAGCATTCTCTCCTGCATTTTGCCCACATCTAGGGCAGGCATCCTCAGAGGTTGTGAGGTCTGTTGGGAACTAGGCAAGTGGGATTTATTTATATATGTCCAGGGTGGGAGAACGAACCCTTGTCTGCTTGAGGCAGGTGTGAATGTTGCAATTGGTGACCTTGATTGGAATTGAACAGCCTTGCAGCCACAAAGCCTGGCTGCTTCCTGTCTGGGGGAATGCTTTGTTGGGAGTTATTAGCTGTCCAGATGTGAGTGAAACTTCAGGAGAGAATGCTTCTGGAACATGGTCATACAGCCCAAAAAAACTCACAACAGCTAAGTGATTCCAGCTATGAAAGTCTTCAATAGCCAACTGGCTGTTAGGAAATGTGAGAGCTGAAGCACAAAACACCTGGAGGGCCAAAGTTTGCCCATGCCTGGTGTAGAGGTAATCTGAGGTTCGCCCACTAAAACAAATTTGCCCTCTAGTCCACTTCATCAGATGCACGAAGCAAAGACACCATGCTCTATACTGTAGAATTAATGCAGTTTGACACCCCTTTAACTGGCATGAATAATCGCTACAGAAATAGAGGAGCTGCATGTGATTAGGCACCAGCACTCTTTGACAGATACTTCCACTGTTAAGCAGCTCTTGTTGTCAGGAGATTCTTTGTGGGGATCACAATTTGGCATGGCACCAGTCCTCGGCAAAAGTATGACAGCTAGGACCCTACGCTCGTTGTGCACTGCGGGTCAGAATTCATGAAGGGAACACATGCATGAGACAGCGAGAGACGCAGCTGCAAGGGAGGGAAGAGGAGGGGTCTACGGATCACACGTCCTGCCCTCCCGGAGCCCCAGCTCCTCCACTGTCAGAAAGTGGGCGGGGGAAAGCACAAGAAGAGGGGAAGGGGAGAATCCACTTGTAAAAACCTTCCCCGGTCGCCAGCACACTTTTCGCCCTTCGAGTTGGGAGCAGTCCAAGCAGACTTCCCTTCATTAATTCTGACGCGCATTGCACAACCAGCATATGGGTCCCAGATATCATACTTTTGCCCAGTTCTCTGTCAGAGATCTTGCAAAACCTTGCAGGTAAAGTGGGGTGAAATGGCATTCATTCAATAATGTGTAGATGTGCTTTCCCTGCCCTCATGAAGCCCCGGCTCCTCCAGTGTCAGAAAGCAGGCGACGGAAAGCATAAGAAGAAGAGAACAAGCCCTATGAGGAGCGGCTTGAGGAGCTGGGCATGTTTAGCCTGAAGAAAAGAAGGCTGAGAGGAGATATGATAGCCATGTATAAATATGTGAGAGGAAGCCACAGGGAGGAGGGAGCAAACTTGTTTTCTGCTTCCTTGGAGACTAGGACACAAAACAATGGCTTCAAACTACAAGAAAGGAGATTCCATCTGAACATGAGGAAGAACTTCCTGACTGTGAGAGCCGTTCAGCAGTGGAACCCTCTGCCCCGGAGTGTGGTGGAGGCTCCTTTTTTGGAAGCTTTTAAACAGAGGCTGGATGGCCATCTGTCAGGGGTAATTTGAATGCAATATTCCTGCTTCTTGGCAGGGGGTTGGACTGGATGGCCCATGAAGTCTCTTCCAACTCTTTGATTCTATGATTCTAGGGGAAGGGGGGGGGGGTCCTGTTCCTTCCGATCTGTTCGCACTAGGGCAGGGGTCCTCAAACTAAGGCCCGGGGGCCAGATGCAGCTCTCCGAGGTAATTTACCTGGCCCTTGCTCAGGGTCCACCTAAGTCTGAAATTACCTGAAAGCACACAATAACAACAATCCTATCTCAAAAGCAGGCCCACACTTCCCATTGAAATACTAATAAGTTTGTATTTGTTAAAATTGTTCTTCATTATAATTATTGTATTGTTTTAAAGTGTATTTTTGCACTACAAATAAGATATGTGCAGTGTGCATAGAAATTCATTCATGTTTTTTTCAAATTATAATCCGGTCCTCCAGCAATTTGAGGAACTGTGACCTGGTCCTCTGTTTAAAAAGTTTGAGGACCCCTGCACTAGGGCCTTGTAAAAACCTTCCTCGGTCTTCCCTTCATTAATTCTGACGCACATTGCGCAACCAGCATATGGGTTCCAGCTATACGTAGGGTCCCAGCTATCATACTTTTTGCCCAGTCCTCTGTCAGAGACCTTACAAAACAGACTTGCTTTCCAAAGTGCTTTTGTAGATTTGCTTTCCAAAGTGCTACGGGGTTCCTTTTTACACTGAAAACAGACAAAGACGCACGCATCATTCAAATACAAACCAAGGTACATTGGGAATGCATTAAAAACTAACACTTAACAGGGTTTGGGGTGAAAGGGGAGAGGATATATTTCAGGTGTGGGCCAACTTGGGCCTTCCAGATGTTTTGGACTCCAACTCCACCATTCCACAGCCTCAGGCCCTTTCCTTTGAAGTCCAAAACACTGGCTGAGAAGGGGAAAGGAAAGGGCCTGAGGCTGTCAGGAATGGTGGGAGTTGAAGTCCAAAACACCTGGAAGGCCCAAGTTGGCCCATGCCTGATACAAGATTTGGGTCTGGAAGACATCCTTGTGTCTCCAGCTCTCCTTCCCAACCTGAAGTGGGGACCTCCTTCTCCCCCAAAAAGGCCCATTTTGGCCTTCTTGATCTATGTATTGCCTTTCCATAGGGATTATATAGGGCTGCCTGGAATACCATCAACCACTCCTTCTCTAAAAAGGCCTCCTTGATGTAGTTATCAATAGACTTTCTGCTAGCCCCCCCCCCCCCTCCCCCAACAATGGGAATGCCTTAACCCCCTGAAAATCAAAGCGCCACGGAGGAGGCGGCCCTCACCTGAAGGAGGGAAGGAGGGAGGAAGGAAGGGGCGGCGGCACTGAAGAAAGCAAGCGAGGCCCGCCCCGACGGACCCGAGGCTCCAGGCCCCACTTGAGGCCCTCCTCAACTGCAAGGAGCAGCAGCAGCAGGCGCCGCCAGTCGAGCGCCGATGGCAGCGAGCGGTTGCGCGCGCAAGAGAGCGGTAGGGGGCGGGGTCGCGGCTGAAGACGACTGAGATTAAGGGGCGGGTCTACAGGGACTGGCGGCGAGGGCCGAGCAATCGATGGGAAGCAAGGCGGCAAAAGGCGGAAGAGGGGATCATAGAATCAAAGAGTTGGAAGAGACCTCGTGGGCCATCCAGTCCAACCCCATTCGGCCAAGAAGCAGGAATATTGCATTCAAAGCACCCCCGACAGATTTTATTTTTTATTTGCTTTATTTTTATACCGCATTTTTCAGCCTAATTCGGCGACTCAATGCGGTTTACAATGCAATTTATATAACAGTAACAATTAGTTAAAACACAACATACATGACAGACAATACAAGACAACACAACATAGTCATCAACGCCTCAGTAAAAATCAGATTCCATTCTCATAATCCTACCATTCCTTTGTTCATTTATACCGTCTTCATGAGTTCAGTTGCCTTGTTGACCGAATGCCTGTTCATAGAGCCACGTCTTGACCTTCCTCCGGAACTCCAGCAACGAAGGGGCCTGCCTGATGTCTACGGGTAGGGCATTCCATAGCCGAGGGGCCACCACCGAGAAGGCCCTGTCCCTCGTCCCCGCCAGCCGCGCCTGCAACGCAGACGGGACCGAGAGCAGGGCCTTGATTAGCCGAGAGCATGGCCATCCAGCCTCTGTTTAAAAGCTGAGGCTGTCAGGAATGGTGGGAGTTGAAGTCCAAAACACCTGGAAGGCCCAAGTTGGCCCATGCCTGATACAAGATTTGGGTCTGGAAGACATCCTTGTGTCTCCAGCTCTCCTTCCCAACCTGAAGTGGGGACCTCCTTCTCCCCCAAAAAGGCCCATTTTGGGGGGAGCCTCCACCACACTCCGGGGCAGAGAGTTCCACTGCAGAGAGTTCCACTGCTGAACGGCTCTCACAGTCAGGAAGTTCTTCCTCATGTTCAGGTGGAATCTCCTTTCTTGTAGTTTGAAGCCATTGTTCCGCGTCCTCCTCTCCAAGGAAGCAGAAAACAAGCTTGCTCCCTCCTCCCTGTGGCTTCCTCTCACATATTTATACATGGCTATCATATCTCCTCTCAGCCTTCTCTTCTTCAGGCTAAATATGCCCAGCTCCTTAAGCCGCTCCTCATAGGGCTTGTTCTCCAGACCCTTGATCATTTTAGTCGCCCTCCTCTGGACACATTCCAGCTTGTCAATATCTCTCTTGAATTGTGGTGCCCAGAACTGGACACAATATTTCAGGTGTGGTCTAACCAAAGCAGAATAGAGGGGTAGCATGACTTCCCTAGATCTAGACACTATGCTCCTATTGATGCAGGCCAAAATCCCATTGGCTTTTTTTGCCGCCACATCACATTGCTGGCTCATGTTTAACTTGTTGTCCACGAGGACTCCAAGATCTTTTTCACACGTACTGCTCTCGAGCCAGGCATTGTCCCACATTCTGTATCTTTGCATTTCGTTTTTCCTGCCTAAGTGGAGTATCTTGCATTTGTCCCTGTTGAACTTCATTTTGTTAGTTTTGGCCCATCTCTCTAATGTGTCAAGGTCGTTTTGAATCCTGCTCCTGTCCTCTGGAGTATTGGCTATCCCTCCCAATTTGGTGTCGTCTGCAAACTTGATGATCATGCCTTCTAGCCCTTCATCTAAGTCATTAATAAAGATGTTGAACAGGACCGGGCCCAGGACGGACCTGCGGCACTCCGCTCGTCACTTCTTTCCAGGATGAAGAGGAAGCATTGGTGAGCACCCTCTGGGTTCGTCCATTTTACCAATTACAGATCCACCTCACCGTAGTTTTGCCTAGCCCACACTGGACTAGTTTGTTGACACTTCCGCTCCAAATTCATGCCGAGCTCCTTAAGCCGCTCCCAGGGTGGGATGTATTCCTTCCCCTGCAAAGGCAGGCCCATTTAAACCACTGCAGTCCTACTTTTCCAGATGCTTTTAATATTCCCCATTTCTCAGAATTTGTTTTTCCAAATTTTGTTACCCAGTGTAATTTGTTTTATAGGGCAACTAGCTGTACCCGCGACACATTGCTGTGGCAAACCTTCCCTCCCTCTTTCTCTCCTCCTTTCTCTCCATCCTTTCTTCCTTCCCTTTTTTTCTTTCATTCTCTCCTTCCTTCCTTCTCCCCCCACTTTTCTTTCCCTTTTTATGAAAAATAGAAAGTAGTGGTTATTTTACAAGTATTTTGTGCATCTGACAGTAGGTTCTTCAGTCTAAATATATGCAATAAGTACTTTTAAAGCTTTGTAGAGACCAGTATTCCTGGGCACATTATAATATTGTAGGTGGATAGCTCTTTTATTTTCATAGGCTCATATGAAATCTTAGGTCATAATCATCATCTATTTTATTTATTTATTTTTGTTGTGTCAGGAGCGACCTGAGAAACTGCAAGTCTCTTCTGGTGTGAAAGAACTGGCCATCTGCAAGGATTTGCCCAGGGGATGGCCGGATGTTTTTTTTGTTTGGTTGGGGGTTTTTTGGTTTTATTTTGGGGTTTTTTAATGTTTTACCATCCTTATGGGAGGCTTCTCTCATGTCCCCACATGAGGAGCTGGAGCTGATAGGGGGAGCTCATCCATGCTCTTCCTGGATTCAAACCTGCGACCTGTTGGTCTTCAGTCCTGCCAGTACAGGGGTTTAACCCACTGCGCCCCCGGGGGCACCATCTAATGATCAGCCCTCTACCATGCAAGAATACATCCCTGAAAAGTGCCCATCCAACCTCTCTTTCAAGGCCTCAAAAAAAAAAAAAGGAGAGTCTATAACACTCTGAGGGAGTGAACAACAAACATTACATTTTTATTTATATAGGTATCAGTCCATATGGAAGAGAGCTAAGGTGATCATGGAAGTTCAATAGACACTTCAGAGTTCTAGGTTCCCTAATGATATGTGCAACTCATTGGGTGGCATTGGGCCTAGGTGCAATGAAAGTCCATAGGAAAGAGTCATGAGCTCAAAATCCAGACTAGGAATAGGACTAATGTCTCAGTACATAGATAGATAGTAGATAGATGACAGAAGATAGATAGATAATGGAAGATACAGATGAATGATACTTAGAATGTAGATAGATCATAGGTAGATAGAAGATACAGTAGAGTCTCGCTTATCCAACCTTCACTCTTCCAATGTTCTGTTTTATCCAATTATGTAAAAGATCAAACATCTGAGGCCCCTTCCACACAGCTATATAAAATCCACATTGAACTGGATTATATGGTAGTGTGGACTCAGATAATCCAGTTCAAAGCAAATATTGTGGATTATCTGCCTTGATATTCTGAGTTATATGGCTCTGTGGAAGCGCCCTAAGTTACAACACAGCAGCCAGGTGTAATGTGTGCTATCTGTGTTTATAGTTTTTTTATAGACTACATGTGTTCTGAGAGTGCCTTGTCCATAAAAGTGTTGTCCATAAAAGTGTGGAAGTTGTCCATAGAGTCATGCTGGAGGACCCACGACCTTTCTACTAGCCCTATATCCTACAATATCAAGGCAGAAATCCCACAACATCTGCTTTAAACTGAGTTATCTGAGTCCACATTCAGATAATGTAGGATTTTCTGCCTTGACATTCTGGGATATAGGGCTGTGTGGAAGGGCCTCTAGAGAAGTTGGCTATAGAATCACACTAGAGGACCTAGCGTTTTCTAAAAAAAACATTTTAAGAAAAGTCATGAATAACACTATGTAACAGAATTTGGAAAAAAAAATCTGTTCCAGGTTTGTTGTTCATTCGTTCAGTCGCTTCTGACTCTTTGTGACCTCATGGACCAGCCCACGCCAGAGCTCCCTGTCGGCCGTCACCACCCCCAGCTCCTTCCAGTCACTTCAAGGATGCCATCCATCCATCCATCTTGCCCTTGGTTGGCTCCTCTTCCTTTTTCCTTCTATTTTCCCCAGCATCATTGTCTTCTCTAAGCTTTCCTGTCTTCTCATTATGTGGCCAAAGTACTTCATCTTTGCCTCTAATATCCTTCCCTCCAATGAGCAGTCGGGCTTTATTTCCTGAAGCATGGACTGGTTTGATCATCTCAAGGTCCAAGGCACTCTCAGAACTTTCCTCCAACACCACAGTTCAAAAGCATCTATCTTCCTTCACTCAGCCTTCTGTATGGTCCAGCTCTCACATCCATAGGTTACTACAGGAAATACCATTGCTTTAACTTCCAGGTTTGAAAGTGTTATTTCCTATTTAATTATGCTGTACTTACTTTGAAAGTAATTATATTCCAGAAATTGTGTCGTTGCCACAATCTGTTGAATTGGTTGAGACTCGATGAGATATTCATTGAAAAACGATAGCAAAATGTGCTACAGGATCTCTCTCTAAAACAGCATTTCTCAACCTGGGGGTTAAGACACCTGGGGGGTCATGAGGGGGTTTCAGAGGGGTTGCCAAAGACCATCAGAAAACATATATTTCTGATGGTCTTAGGAACTCCTTTGGCAGAGAAGGCTGAAGATCTCTCCACCTGTCCTTCTCTTTCTTTTTGGAAACACACAGCAAATCCTTCCACCAAAAGCCCTCTTCCACTGTGATTGGCCAGCCTCTCAGCCAAGGGGAGGGCTGTTTCTGAGACTCCAAGCGGGGAGGGGAGAGCAGGTGTGCTTGGCGCATGGCAGTATGGTGTGCATGTGCAGGTGAGGGAGAGTGTGTGAGGCTGGAGGGAGGCTTGCTCCAGCGAGTCCTTCAAGGCATGAGGGTTCTGTGTGAGAAGTTTGGCCCAATTTAATCGAAGAGGTTCAGAATGCTCTTTGATTGTAGATGAACTATATATCCCAGCAACTGCAACTCCCAAATGTCAAGGTCTACTTTTCCCAAACTCCACCAGTGTTCATGTTTGGACATATTGAGTATTTGTGCCAAGTTTGGTCCAGATCCATCATTGTTTGAATTCACAGTGCTCTCTGAACGTAGGTGAACTACAACTCCAAAACTCAAGGT